AATCATAAACGTAATGATTAATTATCCTTAAGATGGTGCTTTGACACATCCTATAATATTTAGAGCGCCTAAATTTTGTTCAATAACTTTTCTTGTTTTTTTTTCTCCCAAAGTTGACATAATTTTTCGAAGGTTATCTAATTTTCTAAAGATTACTAGTTTTTTAACAACTTGCTTTTATGAATTATTTTCCTTATTTACTATTTACGAAAAGTATTTGCTAAAAATCTATGTTTCTAGTTCTAGGTCTAGTGTTAGTTCCCACGCTAGTGTTAGTTCTAATCTTAATTGTTATTCAATGGTAGATTGTTGTGTATCTTTATTGAACTAGAAGTGGACCTAACACTAGACCTAGAATTAGAAACATTCGGGTTTAGCCGTCTTAAGAGACGTACGGCTAAACCCGAATGATTCTAGTTCTAGGTTTAGTGTTGGTTCTAATGCTAATGTTAGTTCTAGTTTTAGTACATTTTGCATTGAACTAAAACTAGATCTAACACTAGTTTTGGAACTGTGTAGTTCTAGGTCTAGTGTTAATTATTATTCAGCGTTGGATTGTTGTATGTTTTTATCGAACGAATTCATTTATTTGAAGAAAATATGAAATCTGCATATCAAACAAAAACTTTATTTGATGATATTTTATTTGGCAATTTATTTTTGAAACATGTTGTGTATAAAGATAGAAGTAATTGCCAAGTTTAATATTTGTACAATAAATTATATTTATACCAATTATCAGACCTCTTTTGATAAAGTTATACCTCATAAAATTTCATGATATTCCAAAAAAATATCGTTGAAAAATCTATTATAATCGTGTTTAATAATAATTATTTGTGCTGATGATGCTTTAATCGTCAAATTAGATCAATGGTCGAATATTGCACGAATAATGAATTCTAATATGAAAATTACTCTTCTTTATAGAAGCGAACGTGTGTATATGTCACTACCGGATGCAACGGTATCCGGTGACATCAAGAAATATGGTTGTAAACATTATTAATCCAACTTATCAAAAAAGTATAATAACTTAAATTTATTATAACATTTCAATTGTAAAAGTTTAAAATACTCAAACAATTAATGTGAAATGAATTTTGTAGTTTTCCTATTTCGAAGTTGTTTCTTAAGTTTCATAAACATCAAAGAATATAACTGTTGAAAAGTAGGTTATTCGACTTCTTCTTGAAATTTATTCGCACTACTTTACTGAGTTGCAATGTAAAAGTGGTAAAATTATTTGGGAATAAAACCGCGTTGTGTAATGAAACGGGACGATAAATAAACGTTTCCTGTTTTGGAGAACCCGCATACTGCACGGTTTGTGATACGGGATAGTATTTGTTTTTGCTATCGACTGTCTGTACACCTCACTATTTCTCCCATTTTAATACGTCAACAATTTATGGATCGTTACGATAACATTTATCTCTCCAAATTCACTGTATTTTGTGAATATTGTTTAATAATTTCATTACTTTTTAATAAAATGTATTTTTGTGGTTATATTTGCAATAGGAATTTATATATTATATTTATTATATTATATTAACAAATCAAATTTACATGTTTGTTAGGAACCGTACCGTTACGGTCCTGTCGGCGGTTCAGCGACAAAGCTGACGTAGCATAGAAGAACAGCGGTTTACTTGTAGAAATAATGTAGATTAGATTGTAACGTGCCGTTAAAGAGTAAACACGTAATTAACAAGACTCTGTCTTTTTCTTCAACCTGTTCAACCCTACTTAAGTNGAACGGAGTTTATTAATAAAAAATTTGATGAATTCTGTACATTTTTCCAAATTACCCATGATGTTTCTTCCGTCGAACACTCCCAATCACAGGGTATAATTGAGCGGTTGCATGCTACTATTTCAGATACTGTACGATGTTGTTTAAATGACGAAGAATCAAATTACAACACTCTTGCTGATGCTTTGCTAATAGCGCTGAATTCGTACAACAAATGCAAACACTCGTCTTTAGGGAAAACTCCCTTCCAGGTTACTTTTCCATATTTGGAAGGTATGGAAGTAGATAAATCGAACATTGACGACGAGATTGAGTCTATTCGACGGAAACAGATAGGCTCTAAAGCTAAAACGAAAGACAGATTCGATTCAAAAATAACCGCTAAACCGGTAGAATATCGCGTAGGTCAACTGGTCCTCTTAAAGAGAAAGAACAATACCGAAAAACTTACCGAATATCAAGGTCCCTACGAAGTTGTAGAAACTAATGTAGAGAATAACACTGCCACTATTCGTTTAGATAGGAAGTTATCTAAGTTTCATGTCGAACAATTAAAACCGTTTGTTGCAGATTCTCCCTCACCTTCCTAATGATCACTGGGACCGGTAATTATTCCATTACGGACGTAAAAAACGAGGTAGGACTGTACATAGAACAACTAGGACCTTTAAAAATAACAGATTCGTTTTGGAACTTGCTTATTGTCAAAAATATTACTCTCGTACGATATGCATTGCAATGCAACGATAATTTGCTAACGAATCTGACTAAACTAGTCTATGCAAATGAAAAAAATTTCATGAATAAATTAAATTTAGTAAACGAAATTACAGCTCATTTGGTTAATTTACGGTTAATCTCGGGTAAAACTAACAGGTTATTAGATAACTTAATGTACGAAACTCCGCGAACCGAAAGACGTAAACGCGGATTGATTGATGGGTTGGGAACAATTATTAAAACTATTACGGGTAACTTAGATGAGGGCGATGCAAAGAAATACGACGCGCTTATTGACGGTTTAAAACAAAATCAAAAGTCTTTAAGAGAAATTCTAAAGTCGCAAGTTCAAATAGTCGATGAAATGAATTCAAAATTTAATAAAACCGTTTATCAATTGAGGGCAAACGAGGAAAGACTTTTACAAAGATTAAACGAATACATGGAGCACAATATCGACCTGCAAAGGCAACAATTTTATTTTGAAGTCCAAATTTGCTTAGAACGATTATTCGAGTCGTACACAATTATAGAAAACGAGATCCAAACTCTAATTTTAGGGGTAACATTTGCTAGACTTGGAAACTTTTATGCTCCGCTGGTGGATACTGATGTCTTGGTTAATGAAATTCAAAAAATTCCTCGAAATTTAGTCAATAACAATTTACCGGTAGTCCCTGATATAAACAATTTAAGTTTGCTACTGAGACTTTGCACATTCAAATCATACTTAAAAAGTGATAAGTTAGTTGCCATTTTGCAAATTCCATTAGTAAAAGGTGATTTGTATCGTTTGTACCATGCGATCCCTTTTCCATCTGTTCTCAACTCCTCTACTATAATACTCCCTTCCTTGGAATATTTCGCCGTATCTTATGATTACACGCTGTACGTGAGCGCATCCGCGGACTATCTTCAAAGTTGCAAAAAACTAATAAATACCTTTGTTTGTTCGAGCCCAACTATTATGGAGGTAACCCTAGGACCATGCGAAGTACAAGTGATGGCCAGAAGAAGAGCGTCGACTTGTATGCCTCGAAAATACCAACTTCAGGAAGTTATATACAGCCAGTTAAAACCGAATCAATGGATCATCGCGACTCCAAATGAAACTGTTTTGTCCATATGCTGCGACACATCTCAGGAGGACTGCTCACGAAGAATTATCAGTCACAACGTAAAGCTCCGTCTTTCCTGGCCCTGTTTTGCGATCATTGAAGGGAAAAAGCTTCAATCCACTCGAAATGAACAACAGACCGCTACTCAATCGATTGAGTTGCCGTTAATTAAATCTGTCAATAACGTTAATTTAGATAAGTCATACGAGCAAAATGTAATAAAGTTGAATGATATCGATTTGTCGGATTTTAATAGAATCCATACTTTAGTAGAAGAACAAAAATTAAATCTAGACGCTATTCAAAATCAATCAGTAAGTTTAATTAACTACTCATTATCGATCGCTGTTGTCATTGTAATATTTATCATAATAATATTTCGTAAACAAATCAGAATATTGTTCGAAGCGATGAACTTAAAATGTAAAAAACGACAATCTGTTAATCAACCTGAGGCAGCCCCTCGCTCAAGGCCTGTAAATTTGAGAACCATGTTCACATAGAGTTAAACCGTATAAACGTAGTTTTATATTCCTCTCTTTAATTTTGTTTTTAATTTGATAGTTGTGTTTTATTATCTCTTTTTCTTACGGAATACTTTCGGGGGGGAGGTGTTAGGAACCGTACCGTTACGGTCCTGTCTGCGGTTCAGCGACAAAGTTGACGTAGCATGGAAGAACAGCGGTTTACTTGTATAAATAATGTAGATTAGATTGTAACGTGCCGTTAAAGAGTAAACACGTAATTAACAAGACTCTGTCTTTTTCTTCAACCTGTTCAACCCTACTTAAGTTGTTTTATTGTAATAACAATAATATTGGAAACTATTTGATTATCATATCATCATTTAGATCACATACAAAAAATTCATGATATAAAATTTTTATAAAATATGGGCAATTATCCCCTATAGGATAAATTATAAATCTTATTGTTAGTCTTATGCCAAATTTAACAACACGAACAGCACAACTATTAAATTCGCTTCATGCGTATTCTAGTTTTCGCTACATATCGATTTCTGTGAACTGTTTTATTCACGTACGATTTTTTTGCATTGTGCATCCGCGATGTGTCAGTGTTTGTACTTGCTTAACCCTTCGCTATATGCGTATTTAACCAGTAGATAAATGCTGTTGCTATTGATTATTTTTTTTCTATATGAGATAACTTGCTAAGTTATAACGCACTCATAGTTTAATTAGATGTGAATAATGCATTAGATAGTTGCCGGATGGTTCCAATTTTCAACATACCTCTTTTTGCTAATCTGTTAATTAATGCATAGTTAATGGAGTACACAAGCACTAACAATGAGCAAGTAACAGAAGTTCGAGAGACAATTTTGTTTGGATAACAACTTTGACATTAACGCTTGACGGCGTTTTAAACTATTGATGCCTTTATGAGGCAATTAGTAATCTGTGTGGAGGCAGTCGGGATGTGATGAGTTGAGATAATTAACACAGAACCCATCGCCCATATGTTTTACAGCGTTCAAATAACACTCCGTAAATACTCTCTTCAGTCCTGTCTAAGTTAATCTTCTTCGGTGCATGCACGTATGTATCAGTTTTTATGTGCCCATCTTCTCAAGTTAAATTATACTTTTTCTGCCCACATTTGTAGTGCATCATAGTTTCACTTCAATTATAAGCGTCGTTTTATTGTTTTGTGCACTAAACCTTCAATAGAGCCTAATTTCCTAAATGATGACTTTTCAGAGTTTTTAGATGTTCTCCGCCATAAGCCTAATCTTGGTGCCGCAAATTAGAGATTGACACGCTTGATGAAATGCTGTATAGATGTCGAGGTACATGTTCAATTAAAAAATTTATATTTACATAATTAATTTAATTTAATTTAAATTTATAGAGTGAAATTATCAATCAATCGAAAAAGGTTATAAATTTGAAATATGTTGATGTTTTAACCATTGAGGAATTACTACACCACCAATAAACAAATAAAATAGATAAACTCATTGCCGTTTTTTAATACAACGTTTTTACCATCGAAATAAAATTTATTTGTTGTTTACCGATTTATAGAGATAAAAGTATTGTGATTGGCAGATTTAATTGTCGATTCGTTTCTTTGTAATCCACATAAATTGACTTGTAAAACCGAATTCTGCTTTTTTTTCGAATCCAGTTATAATTCTCACATTTTTATTAGATGGAACGGAAAAGATAATCAACTTTTTTTTAACTAATTTTTTTGTAGATTTATTGCTTAGTAAATTAAGATCACAGTACGATTGTGTATTCGTTTTGACAGTGGTGTCAGATTGAACAATTAAAATTTATCCACCTTCATGTCGCGTTCGAATCCATCTCAGTGATCTAAATTATTTGTCACACAAACAACAGACAGTATTATTTCTGTCAGTGATACGTAAATGTCCGCGAAACCTGTGATTCTCTTCTTGTGTTCTCGAGGTACCTGTAGTGTTTGCAACGTATTCGACGTTCAAGTCTTATAAAAAAGATTCAAAGGTAAGTTGGAAAATAGTCGTTAAAGAAAAGAAAAGTCCTTTGGCCCCGGAAGAACACGTACAAAGTTTTGCCTTTCGGCATTGGTATGCTATGTGATAAAGGTGACCTGAAGTGGCCGGAAACTTTCTAATTCAACTGTCAATTCTTTGCCATCTGTCATTCATGGAGGGCTTTCCCATCTTGCTTGGCTATTTTTCTATTATGAGCTTTGGGGACCCTTCCGGGAGACCTTTGCTAACTTCGTAATGGAGTTACCCCCAAGAAATACTGAAAGTTTGCGAACTAGGTCGTCTTATAAATATTTGAGGATTCACTTATCAGAAATGAAATGAAATGTAAAAAAGTAATATTATATTTTTAAGGATTTCAAGGAAAAGTTATGAAAAAACTGAAACTTTATATATTTACACATCATTTTTTGTTATGCTGCAGAAAGTTTAGTGTTTAAATAGAAACCCTTCACAATAAATTAAATTTTACGTCAATGTTCTACTTTTCCCTTAATTTCCTAACTAGAAATATAGAAGCTTATCAGACATGCAATCATTCAACACTTTTAATAACAAGGTTTTACTTTGTACTCATGTTTTATGGAAGTTGGTATTAATATCGCCAGGTAGAACAAAAATAAAACGGGTGCGATAATTCGCTTTATTACGCCGCTTATAAAATGGGGTGCACATATTGTAGAGCTTGTGTTGTCACAGAATATGATAGCATCTTTAAGACATCTTTTCCACCTCCGTTAAGTTAACGTAACTTTCTTTTACATCAGTTTTTGTAGATAAACTTTTATTAGAACAGTTTTTTTAGTTGCTGCATATTAAATTTGTGCTCTATAAAACAGTGTTATTAAAAGCTATTCAACTATTCAAATGAAAATGTAAAAAACTAGATTTAATAAAGCATTTGAAGTTTTAAATTAACACTGGCGGATATTAAAATGTAAAGAGAAATTGGAAAAGTTAAAATACTTGATTTCTTTTTAGTATGTCTCGACCAGGATCTTATTCATATACAGGACTTCCTGCACCTCCGCCTCATCAATACTTTTACGATGAAATGGAAGGTTATATAGGTGATTATTCCGAAAGCGAAGGATTATCTGATGCGGCACCACATTTAATCACAGCAGGAAATCCGGATATCACGGAATTATATCGACGGAAAGCGATGGCTTTGCCGGTGGCACAAAATCATTACAATCACTTTTTACATGCTCCCCCGCCACCTGAGTGAGTAAACGATACGTTTTTTGTAATTTCATTTAAAAAAATTAGTCTTACCCGAATGTGAAACCGTTATAATCCATACAGTTATCTTTCGTTTTCTTAGGTATTATTATGAACCAATGCGGCAACCTCAAATGATTAGGGCGTCTACGTATAGAAAACGAATGCCTGTTATCGCTGAACAACCGAGATATTATTCGCCGGAAAGAACAGAAGTTTTTAATCCACATCAACCGACTTATAGAAGTACTCATCAATTGGTTACGTCTTTGCCAAGAAATGCAGTTCCCGCGTCCATTCCATCTGCAACGGTTGTTAGATCTAATGTTGGTGTTAGAAGACATCCTATTACAGTAAGAACTCCAAAGTAAGTAAATTTTTTAATAAATTATAAAATCATATTTAAATAGTTTAAAAAGATAGTGCTTAATAATTAATAAATAAACAAACCGAAGATTCAATATCTTAAATAGGATATTAGGGAGAATATATCCAGTAATCTTCCCAAACTCAACTAGCTTAACAAGTCCGCCAAGTTCATATCAAACTGGATATAAATGCCACAGTGATTCTTACAGACCGATGAATGTATATAGCAGTCCTGTTAGATTCTTGATCTGCTCTAGAAGCATTAAGAGCATACATTTAATTTTGGAGTTAATTCCTGCCACATTCATAAAGGCATAAAATATTGATAATGGTCAGCTTTTGGTATTCTAAGCTGCATTATAGGTTGTATGGAGTTCATCAACAATGTCCACCCTAACCTTGGTGGAATATTTTCGGGCTTGTATTTATCTAGTCCATGGTGCATACTTGAGGCCAGAATGACATTTTTATACTTTTTGAGAGGTTATGGCACTATTGTAGTATATTCTTGAAGTCCAAACATACCACAAGTAGTTTGCCAAGTATAGCCTAGTATTGTAGTATGCCTAAAACGTGATCACAATATGTTCAAAATCAATTTATACTGGTGTCACTATAAAGAAATAAGAAGTAATAAATAAGGGCATAAAAAGAAGTATGTATAATATGGGTCTTATTGCGAAAAGTAATAACTACTAGCTATATGAAATTTTTGCGTTAAATAACGAATAAGCTCAGCAACTTTTTAGAGGCTAATGGACAATTTTCTGGAAGACTCAGAGAGGTATGCAGTGATTCCTAATAATTTTCAAAGAAATAATTTGAAAATTAATGTAATCCTTTGCAAAATCTCTAACTTTTTTAAGGATTTCCAAACATTTGTGATATTAATCAAGGCAAAAGAAGTATAGTAGAGTATTTTTATCGACTTTAGAAAAACTTCCAAGCATTTTTAAATCTGAAATTATGATTCCGATTTGTAGATACCTGCCTTTTTGAAGAGCTAGAGTTCCCTCTATCTTTCATATAGCATTTTTCTTTACGTGAAGAATTGGAAGAAATTTGTTAATCTAATCTTTAATCATGTATGCAGAAGTATAGTGCAAATCTTCTTTACCGGCAGATTCGGTATTCTTCCACCTCAAAGTATTGCGATAATAGTGACAAAATACAAAAACATGATAAAATACATGAAAAATTAAAACTTTTTTAATGTAGATAGCTCTATTAACTCTTCAGATTCCTAGATTGCATATCCTCTCTAAAAATACAGTCTTCTATAACTTAAATTTTAAATATTTATTAAGTTCAAATTTATATTATGTTTATTAAAATAAATAATCAAAACTCAATTCAATTACATTTTAAACGTTTCGATATAATAGCCAAGTTATTATGATGTTTTGAGATGTTATCTAAAGTGTAAAGTGTAAAAAGTTTATTATGTACATTCGGTTGTAAACAGGAACACTCTGGCTAATGAAACGTAAACATCGTTAAATATCCGCGATTCGGTACAAGATATTACTGTATCATTAGTTTTCGATTTACCAATAATTGAACATGTTAATAGTTTGTTTACAGTATGTAAACGTAATAGCTGTTTTAGTGTATTAAATATTCATTTTTATTTATACACACAAGGTGAAAAGTCGGATAGCGATCAAAAATAACTAAAACGTTTTAACTTTAATGCATTCACAAAGCAATTAAACGTGTTGATCAATTTCCTTTCTTTAACAAAAAAACAATTACCGTAGTTGCGATCATCAAATCCAAAATTTCATTTCAAATTTCAATTGTTGCCGTTGAAATAATGCATAACATTTTCGAATTGCGATTCACAGTTTCTACGTTCGATCACCAAACTGGGAAAATACGATATTACCACTAATTGGATCAACGCTCGTGCGAAATTCCGGCTCACGGCTTTAATAATTTCCTTTCATTTCGCATAATTAATTACTGAATTGGTTGTGACGTTACCGGACGACATGTCGACTTTAATTAAGATTCGTTACGTAACTGGAAAATAGATTGTGGATTACCCGGATTTTCCTCATCCACCCTAGGTTCTTTTCTATATAAACACAGAAAATAGAAACTTTTGAGGGCGACAGTTTCAAATAATAGCCTTGTTTTGTATTTTTGGCTGGTAATCTATCCGTTCGGTTCGTTCGCACATGTCAGGATGGTTCGATCGATTTATTAAAACCCATTCATCAGGGTGTGATTTTCAGATTTATTAAAATAATAAATATTGTAGATTCATTTGGAGTGTTAAAATGGGTGTAAATGAATACGTTTAATAGATACGTCACATAAATTTGTAAATTGTATGTAAAACGAGTATGTATATAAAATTATACATTTCTGTTAGACTACTTAATTATGTAAATAGTGCGGGTAAAAAAGGCCATGACCTAAACACGACTCCGACTCGACGTAAAGATTTAAGTTAGATTACAAAAGTGCGGACTACAAAAGGTACGAGACGTTCTCGTATTCAATACGAAACGCCTTTTCTCTCTCTCTTGTTCCATTTTTAGTATTTCTTTCGGCTTAATCCATGTTATTCGAATAACATGCGAGGGCGAAACCGAGGAATAAATTTTTGGGGCTTTTTGTGGCTTTTCTTGACGCGCCTTCCGCGTGGGTAGTGGGAAGGATGATTTATTTATAGAATAATACCTTTTGATGGATACCTGCCATCAGAGAAACAAAGACTTTTTGTGATTGTTATTTGGATTAATTAAAATTGACGTTAAAATAACAGTTTTTTATAATTATAGGAAAATACCGGCGCCTCCACCATATTATCTTTTAGAAAATATTTGGTGTATGTTGGTAAATTATATTATCTAGAAACAAATAGATAAGATGAAAGCTTTTATATTTATTTACATTCTTTAATATTCACCTTTTGTGATCAATATGGGTAAGGTCAAGATCAGCAGATACTGAATAAGAGTTTGAGTATGGTGATATTTATTTGTGTTGAGTAATGTTTACCTAACTATGTTGAATAATGCTTTCCTTACAGTAACTGGACCTGAGGTTGTTGAAGTTATATTTAATGTCATTAAATGCCAGTTTTGTGATACATAGACACTAAATTTCAAATTTCTATCAAATACATATCCCTAAAGATGATTTGGTGGTAATGTGTGTCTTTTTAGCAAGGTATCATCGTCTCTAACTGATGGTTAAGTTTTCAAATGTGCTTAAATAGTATTTATTAAAAATATTAACTCATCAGTGAATTTCGATGTGTCTCCATAATGTTGTCAACTGCAGAATAGTACCAATATATTACTGCGCCATTACAAGTCGATTATTGGTTTACGGATCATAGTCTCTAAGGGGCGGTACCGATTTGTCCCAAATTCGTTCTGACGAATTCACCCAACTCAGTCGTGAAGGCCTATTTTTTTGTTTTTTTAGAAAATCAATATTCCTCAATAATGATGTTGCGGACTGCAATGTAACAAAATATTTGCAAATTTCGAATTGTTTTCATTTTAACTCATTGTAAATGATTACTGATGGTAATATTACTTAACTTTAAGCTATTATAGCATAGAATATTGACTTGGAAGCAGTTGATAAATCGGAGAAGATGCTTCACAAAATCAATAAATGATACAAGAAAATAATAATAAGTAAGTAAAGTATTCACAAATAAAGGCTGAGGAAAATGATGAGAAAAATAATGACTAACTTTTCTTCTAACAGATTAGGAATTTATCCATCTTTGGGTATGGCTCTCACAAACTGTTTTATTACTCACATGTTCTATTCACATAAGAACAATCGGTATTTCATTTTGTAGTAGAACGACCTTTAGATGAATCTCATCCTTTTTATATCCAATTACGAATTCGTTCGTCAAACCATTAATGTCTGAACAGTATACTAAAGCTATAAGTTCCTGCTGCCAAGAAGTCTTTCGTTTTGAATACGAAGCCAAATAGTGTAGCTTTCTCCTTAATGAAGCCTGAATTAGGGACAAGAAGATCAAAACCATAATAGCCTAATGGCAGAGCAAGACAAGGATACCTTACTTTATTATTTTATTAGTTATTGCTAGTAACATCAATGGTAAAAACAATCGTTAATGTGCTTATTACTTTCCATATCATTGGAACAGCAAATCTAAACTCCTCAATCACATTTTTTTTATCATCGTAGTTATTCTAACAATATACTATGCAAGAAATTGCAAATTGAATATGAAGTGAACCTTATTTTTCACTACGCCCAAGTATCTTGAATTTCAGCCGCTTCATCTGGAACTTTCAGTACCAAGCATTTACTACAAAAATGAAAAGCACTAACTGTTAGCATTTCCATTTTCATTACATTAATTATTTGTGTAGTTAAATAAAAATAAAGTATGAAATTTCATAAATTATTGCTACGCAATGCATTAATAACAATTTTACTTTATATTAAAAGCTAGCTGAATTTAAAATGCAGGATTATTTTTTTGTGTTTTTTTCAGTTTAAAGACTACAATACTGTTGGTGTCCCAATGTTTTTATTTAAAAAACCATCGCAATATATTATGCACCACACAAAGCACTAAAACATTCATAATATTAAAAATTAAATATGTGGGATTTAAAATAAATACAGTACACAATTTTTTTTATTTAGCTTTTTTATTTATAAAACAATCCAGCAATTTTCATAATAATTCCCGTCATCACCTTGTAATTACGTTAATGGTTGCGTATGTTTCAAAAACACGTTAATGGATTAGCAAACGTGCAAACTGACACGAAAAGCTAAATCAGGAAGTTGATCAACAACGACAAAGCTATTCATCGATTCCAACTACATATTTCACATCACATTCTTAGTAATCAAATAAATCATTAGTAAGTTGATAAACATTTTCAGAGTGTTGCGGAAATTAATGTTTACCTATTGTTTAAGAAAGTTTACCTTCCTTGATTCAACTCTAACACACGTACCTGCAAGTTTATTTTCATAAACGTTACGGTTTGTACAGCTGTTATATTCGAGGAAGACGAAAATGCAATTAGACACCATACAAACACTTTGTTTATTATTCAACTATGTACGTTATTAGTACTTAATTTGATATAAATGATTTTTATTGTTATAGGTATTATCGAAGACCAGCGACACCAGCTCCAATAAAACGACCATCAGCTTTATGTTTACCAGTTGCGGCACAACCAGATCCCGCAGTTTATAACAAACGAAATAAACGAATTCCTCAAGATGCACACCTTTATCAAAATGAATACGTTTTTCCTATTAGCCAGTCACAAAGTAAACACCATCCCCATTATGGTAATACGGATAAAAATCGATTACTAAATAAAGACAATTTAAATGTTACACGATCTAAATTAGATGCTGCTTTAGAAAGATATGAAAACATTTTTGAAAAGAATATGGTTGAATTCGCTGGAAATCCACCGGATCTTAATTTAGTTAGAATGTTAAAACCTAAGGTTTTTGAAACGAGCCAACAAAAAAATATTTTTGTAATCTCTATATTTATTTAGATACCTCCTACAATAAAAGAAACCCAAGAAAAACTTAAACAACAAAAATCTCAAAAAACTCAAAAAGAACAAGAGGAAGTTACCTCCGATGCATTAGAAGAAATGTTATTCGCTGACCTTAAAGCTAATGGCTTTACAAATAATGAATCGGGTGATTTTAAACAACCACCTCAAGAATCAAACACTAACAATAATGAAGGAAAAGATGATAAAACACCAAGAAGTACAGATGGAACAGTAGGGGTAACGCGTTATTGATTCAATTAGATTCAATGAATTTTTCTTTTTAAATTTTAGAGCGAAAAAGGTTTAAAAGATCTCCCGAAAAGTTTTAACTATCAAGAAATTCAAAACAACGTAATCAAAAAAACTCAACAAAACAATCAATGTTCTCAACATACTTCAGGAATTATCCAAGAGGAACCATTTGAAGTTCCAGAACAAGATGTTCCAAATGAAAAGGATATTAGAAAATGTGAATCTGTTCATACTAAAGAACACCTGCAAGATTGTGTTTCAAATCCATTAGATCTTCAACCCGAATCGTTTAGACGTATATGTTCACAAGCTTCTTCTCAAAGATTAAATGATAATGATCGTTCAGCTGAGTCGATTAAATCGTTAAGAACCGCAACTGTTCCTAGAGTGCTGGTTGATGATGCTCTTGAACTGCACCGAACTAAAAGTTATGTAGTCAATTTAATTGATCACGCTTTAAGTAATCATTTTGGAACGAATTTATGTGAAAAATATTCGACAAAAGAAGTAAGTTAACAAATTAAACGGTAATTGTTAAATAATTTTGGATTAACTTTTAGAATCCTATAGATCACCGTGTAGCTGTCGACATATTAAAGAAACATTCCGCTGGAAAAATGGACAAAGAACTATGTGTGGAAATAGCTCAAGCTTTAGCAGATACTTTTAATTCCAGTTCAACTTCTTGTACGGCCGGAAATTTGCATCACGACTGCGAACCTAAACCACAAACAAGCTCTTGTTCTTGTAGTAAAATGTCCGATGAGCCTTTATATGTTAAGCAATTAAAACAGTTAAGATGGGGTCACTTGAAACATATTCAACGCGAAGTACGAAGACTCGAAGATTTGGAACGGTTTCTTGATTCGTGTAGCTCGAATTCGTATGTTTAACCAAAGAATCAGTGCACAATGTATACAAGTTAATAAAATAAATATATTGACAAATAATTCAAGCATTTAGAATTTAATTTTGATAAATTAAAAATTTGACGTTTATTATGTTTAAAAAATAAATCAATGTCAAGTCGTAAAAACAAAAATAAAATGTGTAGTAAAATTTTAATTTTGATCACCGTAATTTGTTCCATAGTTATATTAACTACAATACTTGGTATATTAGGTTGTATAGTGCATATATTTCAATGTATGGATTATTATTACAGCGACTCAGAAGGCAACAAAAAAGCAATTCGATAAGAAATTAATTTTATTTGATATTAAGAAGAAGGAGTGCAACAAACAAATGTATTTAAACAATGTGTTTTATTTGCATCTTTAAAATAAAATTGTTAATTAAATTAATTGCGGATTTTCTCCCCATGTTTTCTAATACAATCAGTTACGTAAATCATCCTACCCAACCAGATTATTAAGGCAATTAGTACAATATGTACAAGTACGACAAGAAATATTATAATAAACTTGATTATTGATAGTAGTATCATGATTTTCGATGACGATTTTTTGACAAAATCTGTTGTCTATTGAAGGATTCTATTTGACATGAAAAATATTAAACAAATTTTAAGGGTATCAGTTTTTTTCGGTAAAATTTACAAGATTCCGTGAATTGTAATAAAAGAACTTTTCATCTTAACACGTTAATCGTCACCATAAATCCAACACAGTTTTTGTCTGGGCCATGGTAATTTTATTAAATAATTTAGATATTACACCTGAAGTGAATAAAATGTTTTATTGCAAAAAAAATTTCTTTTCATAAAATTCCCGGTAAAAGCTTTTGTCACACTTATGACAAACCATGTCAGTCATATACCTGAGATATCTCTGAACAGGTTTTGTCAAGTGTTTTGCTTGATCAAAAAGAAAGATGTTGCCGAAAATATTAATCGAAAACCTTCGATGATGATAACGAGGATTTTAGTTCAGATGAGTTAATAAAAGATCTTAATTATTCATTTTTACATTTTGTTCTTAGCATGGAACATCTAGCTTTCTATAAATCAATCGGACATATATGTCTGGCCGAATGTAGTAATCATTTTATTGGATACTCTTGCCATAAACTTTTTTCTGTTGGAAAACTCGAACAAGCGCATGTGGATTGATAAATATTAGATAGATCATATGAAAAGCTTAGAGAAAATGTTCAAAAGCACGTTGAATATACATGTATGGTACATCTACAGTTCATTTGAATTATCTGTTGGTAAAGAAGCCACAAGTGAACTAGTCTTATTGATTCAATGTCATAAATTTCTCATCCTAAGTTTGGCCGACACTCAACAAAATGATTTCTCCCTATTCCAGCTACTGCATCAAAGATCCTTTTTTGGGCTCTTCTTCCATTTTATAATTTGTCTAAACACCTAACTTCAAAACCACTATCCAGAAAAAGTGTAAACATATCAAATTAATCAATAATATTTTCAAAATTTTATTTAATTTTTTTTCCAACAATTAAGGAAAAATAAAGGTTGTTGAAACTGAACCAACGTTTGTACCAAACTGTTTATATCATGTATTTGATCGAACATTCGATTCACCGTATAGCAGGAACATTCGTCACACCAACTGTCGAACTTGCTTATCCCAATCGTTGGGTCCAACGAGCGTTCGTATCGTGTAGAGGGCTTCAGACACATGATTGACGCGGCAATCAACGTGTTAATAAATTTCTTGTAGTTTTTATGGAAATTATGGAAACAATAAATCATTAATTTATAGAAAAAAGACCAACATATCACGAAATATTTCTTTTTATTAAAATAAGAAAATCACACAATGAATCGTCTCGTCAATTAATATATTAAATATTATAAAAATAATCCTATTCAAATTTATGTACAAATAATTATTATTATTAAATTTACAATTACTATTATTACAAAACGCATCTGATTATCTAGATTCATCTGATAACGGGATATATTTGATGGATTTATAATCATCTTCAAACACCGGTAGATTTACATAAATTTCGTTTGGAACACTCCTTTTGGCACCATTTATACTTCTTTGTGATTGACTAATAACCGTTGTAGTTTCAGCCTTCAATTTCTCAGCTCTTACTGTTTCGGCAGTTTTTAGAAGCGCAGCCCACATAGTTTCCGAGTTTTCAGGATACACTATAGCAACCTTTTCGGTTTTCTTTTGAATTTTTTGTATGTGAGTGTAGGGAGTAGTTGATTCTCCTTCATGTTTTTCTCTTGGTGATGTTAAATCTGCACTTGGTTTTGAAGGCAAGCTTAACTGCCGCTCTTTCGTATGAATTGCATTACTAGAATCGTCTTTTAATGGCTTCCGTTCGGTTGTTGTGGTGGAAAAAGTAGTGGATGATGAAGTTGTAGTTGTTTTTGTGGTTGTTTGTTTTGGCTTCTTTGTTGTTGTGACGGTTTCTTCAAAATGTAATGGAACGTAACGTCTTTGATTGTCTCTATCTCTTGGGTTAATGAAGTCAGAAATAAATCTTGGCGTGTAAGTACTAACGAATGGAAGGATGGTTTCTCTGGCGTACTTTTCGGCGTCCTCAAACATCCTTGCTATTCTTTGCGGTAAGAATTGAACCGTTCTTACTAACGCGTCAAATCCATTTTCTTGTCGTTGAGGTTGTAAGTTAAAGTTTATTGAGGCAGATTTAGATTCATCTTCTCTTTTCCATTTATCAATGGTTGTTATTTCATCGCGGAATACAGTTTCTTTTTCTTTTCTCGCTATAATTTTTGATTCTTTAGTTGTAGCTCCATAGTTTGAAGTTGTTGGTCCTAATATTGGTTCGGTTATTTCTGGTCTCTCTTTATCAGGATTATGAGCTCTCGCATTTTTTGTTGCTTGAGCTTTTAAAATTGGTTCGACTACTTCCCTTATTGCGTTGGAATTATTTCCGTGATCGTAACTAGCTGATTTTACATGTCTTGTATTAAAAGCTCTACTTGATTCTGTTTCTGTATCGACGGTATTATCTCGATCATTAGCCTCAATTTTAGAAATTGAATTATTTTTTTCTTCTTCGATTAAATTTGGAACGAATTTCGATCGATGTTTATCATCAAGTCTATCCTCGGCGTATTGCCTTTCGTTATCTTCACCGAAAATATTGCAATCTCCGTCAAATAATGGCAAAGTTATGTGAACGCCCGATTCTAAAATCAAATTTTTCCGGCAAACAGAAAGGCTTTTCCCGTAGCTATCGCTAAAAGAAATTTTATCTATCTTCCATTGGTGCAAACCCGACGTTAACCATCCATTATAGGAAGTGTAAAGTACTTGAACGTGGCTCGGTGGTAAAAGTATTGGATGTGGTACTATTATTTTTGATATCGATTCTCCTAAACGCATTTCTTCGTCTTCTTTTCTGTAACACAAACAAATATTTATGCAAAATTACAATCGGTGAAAGTTTATATTTGTGTGTTGGTCGATTTAATGTTAAGCATTCGTCACGAAAACTTGAAACGGCGATAAATACCGTGGAGAGAGAAAGTTTGATGTAGTACTTACTTAGTGAGTGTGAAGGTTTCATTCAGAAGAGTGTCTCCTATCAATGTCACCTGAATCCGACCGTAACTAACGATTGGAACTTCTGTAGGACTACTTTCAATTTTTACTAAGTATTGATGTGCTTAAATAAGGAATCAACACAATATTATTTAAGATAAAATAAATAAGTTTTTAATTTTTTTATTACCACAAAAAGGTTCTTCGTCTCTCGTAAGTAAATACAGTTGACCACGTCCTTTAAGACGATCGGCGTAGTAGCCCATATTTCCACACTTTCTATAAGACCAAAAGCGAAACGTTTATTCGTATGAGGAAGAAGTGAAATTTTCTATCGACTACCAAATACGGATTTTCCTTACCTTTTCTCAGTACAAGGGAAACAGTGACCCGCCAGGAAATCATCGTATGAATCACAAGGAAATGCAGGAAAGTGACATCTTGGATAAATGGAGTCCGTAAAGAATTTATAGGCACGCCTATGATTGCATAGAGAACGACCTTCTGAGCCAGCAGCTAAAGAAACAGTAAAAAAAGGATTAGGTATAATGTTTATAAAACTAAAGCTTTTCGAAAAACAATAAGAAATGCAGACATTTTAATTGATGAAGTTCTCACTTTTAATAAGCACATCAATAAATAGATAATGATATGACTATGTGAAAATTTAGTGCTAACTTTTTTATCTTTTATAAAAAAAAACAAACGTTTGTAAAACATCTCTTTGAGATCGAGAAAAGCAAATACGAAGTACCTAATCCTCTGTAAAGTAACAAGCGTCTCTTTCCGAAATGCAAACTGAAAGACTGTACGGCAGAAAAAAGTCAAAGGACGAATCGAAAAGCGAAGCGGTTCTTGTTTTATTCATGATTATAAGATATGTCATTAGGAGTTGAATGGAGGTGGATGTACTTAAAGAGCTATTACGGAATCTCTTTAGATCATTAATAGATTATTAGAGTTTGTTAAATCTTTAATTGGAACTACATAATTAAATAAAATCAATACTCATTAAAAGCATATAGTTTTAAATTGAAACAGAGGAAAATAAATCGGCCGTTATGAAACAATTTATTCGCATGGGTGCACTTTCAATTCAATACCGGAATAGTTTGAACTATGAACCTCAACCTCCCACTATTATTGCCGGGGGATATTTCTTAACGCTTGAATAATCGCTTATTAAAGGATATTCATCAAATAGAAAATTATCGATTTAATAATCTTTAATAATTAAATATTATACTTACACCAAATAATATCAGTTAAAGCGCCAACAAACAAATTTGTACATCCCTTCTGCATCCTACCACCGTTTGGATAAAAATCGACATGACCCATCGGTTGCCAAGAACCTAAACCTCCTAAAATTAAATTTTCCCCATTACTATGGATAACATCCACAAAAGCAGCATCTGATTGATCTAATCTTGCTCTAGGATCTTGAGATTCAAAAAGAGGTCCAGCTGGATCCAATCCTGATTAAAAACAACTTTTTAATATAATTCTAAAATAATTTATACGAAAAATCTCGATATAATAATTTAAATATATTTTCGTTTGGAAGGTGTAACTTCTAATGACGTTTGAAAAGGTAAATTTGAAGCTGTGAGTTTGATTCGTAATTCCGCGACATAAAATTCAATAAACGAGAATTCGGCTTCGTCCCCCCTTTTCTAACAAAATCATCATGTACTTCCTTTTCATCAAGATTCATGTGGTATAAAAAAATATTCTTTTTAAATAAGACTTTTTAATAATATCGTTGAGTAATCAATATACCTGTTATTCTACTTAAGTTGCCTAATTCAGAACCAGCAAAACCAGCAACATGAGCTCCTAAACTAAATCCAATAAGATGCATATTTTCTAAAGGGAGTCCCACGTTTTCCGATAAACCTTTTAGAAATATTGCAAGCTGTTTTCCTACCAGTCTTGTATTTGCGCTAGCTTTTACATAATTGGGTAAAGTTGCACCGTTTGTCCAATCAACACATATCACATTCACATCTTCCTAACAAAAAAGGACTTTTTTATTTATTGCAAAATATTTCATTGATAGTACTTACTTCTTCCAATAAAGCACTTCTCATTTCGTACACCCAAATGTGGGAGCAATCACTTCCAAAACCATGTATCATCACCTTAGTGGGTAATGTACCGTTAAAGTTTTTTGTTGACCAGTCAAAAGCATCGGTGATGTTACTAAAAGGTATCTCAATGGGTTGAGTACCACTTCTCCTTCTTCTCTTACTGAACGGATATAAAAGAAATGTCGTACTGATTTCTTCTGGTGTATTAGGTAACATGTCCAAATAACCGAAAGGACCTGAAGATTCGAAACAACCCAAATCTGGGTAACATACTGATGTATCTTGACGTTTATATCTATAATAAATTTATAAACGAATATATTATTATGTTCTGGGTCTAGCGTTAGTTTTAATGCTAGTAGATAGATTGTCCAAAATGATTGGAAATGATTAACAACTAGTTTGTAAACAATCCATGTTGCTCAAAATGACTGAAAACTAGTAGATAATCATTGAAAACTTGTCTAAACGTATAAAGACTAGATTATAGCAAGTCTAAATGACTCAGAACAGCTGAAAATAGTACCAACATTGTCCAAAATGATTGGAAATGCTATCTCATGTTGTTCAAAATCATTGAAAACCGATTGGGTATCGTTTAATACTTGTCTAAGTGATTAACAACTATTTTATAACAAATCCAGGTTCCTCAAAAGACGCACGGTTAAACCCGAATGATTCTAATTAAAGGTCTAGTGTTAGATCTAATGCTAGTGTTAGTTGTTATTTACCGCTAAATTATTGTACATTTTTATACAGAACGTAACGGTATGAATAGCTGTTCGAATTTGTGTGCATTAAACGTATTAAAATTCTTCATTCAAACAGTTTAATGTGCAAATTAAAAATTTTTCATTTAACGGTTTTACTGTATTATGGTGGAACGTTATTGGATAACTGAACCTAAACGTAATTGAACTACCCTTTGTAAGCAAAACAAATAATACCTATCATTCCATGAATATAGCCAACAAACATACAAGCAAATACCGAACTCCAAACTCTCTACTAAAGCGACAGAACATTATTCCCTATAGCGTATTATTGTAAATTCCCATTCCTATTGTTTTCTAATAAGCTCGAATAAGAAGCCTTAACTCGGTTTCTCCGAACACCAGTAGGTAATAATTGTGTTAGGTACGAAAGTTTTGTGAGCAAACACGAGATTGAAAAAAGGGAATATTAGAACACGGGTGAACGTTGAATTTGATCTTTACTCAGATAGCGTATTATTTCGAACGATGAGTTCTCGTCTCGAGTGGCCTATTCTTCCACTTTCAGCAATAATGTACTGTTGAGAAACTCAAGAGAATTATGCTCTTGTTTACAAATTAGTCTCGAATTCGTATTAAAACAAATTTAATTGGACGTCTTAATGATCTTTTGCGTAATAAGTATTTGGTTAATTGGTATAAAAACGCGATGCTATTTTCCATGAAGATGGTGTAACGACCTATTTTTTAATAATTTATTAGTTACTAAATAATACCTGGCTTGTTTACTCTTGAATTTTTTATTATGCTCCCATTCACGTATGGAATTTACAACGGCCCTGTGAATTTCAACGTCTCTGGCTTCTTCTAATGCTTCTTGGCTCCGGATGTATTCGATATTTCCTGCAAAAAGATATTGGAATTAGATTAATAGAACAGATACGAAAATTAATGGCTAAAATTAATGACACATGATCTTCGCACATATGTTAAATTATACGATCGGTAGCTATCAATCAATCCGTATTAGTATGAATTGTAATCCAGTTTACTGTAATACAATATTGGGTATCATTAATGCGCTCTATGCGCGCCATATGTCTATACATACATTGTAACCGGGCATTAGTATGTGCTGTCGGTTGTATTCTTTCTGGAAAGTTTTGTCGTAATCAACCAGAATATAAATTTCCATTTCAATTACATAATAAATTTATTGCAATTTTAAACTTACTCATATACATACTTTTAATTCTATATACACACATTATCTGCAACACCCCAAAACCTATTAACAATGATAATTACATTTAATATGGCAATGTAATAGAGCTTAATAACCCAACATCGTCATTTAATTACGTTAAATGAAAGCATTACTCAACCAATAGACTGTAACTTCATAAATCACGCTCCTCCTCTAATTGTTCTTGGGCGGTAATTGTGTCGACAATTAGAGTTGCAGGTTAACAAGGAAGATGGAAACGATCGTTAATCAGGAAGAGAGATGTGGATTTACAAAGAATTTTACGTAAAATTATCTTAATTTACTCTGAAATCTAATTGTTTCTCTTGTGGTAAAGACAAATCCCACAAGAAATTTAATCCAAGGAATTATGTAGTGCATTATTACAACCAACTCCTAAGAAGACCACAAGCCAATTAATTTCAGTAGCATCAAAGGTCCATCAGGAAATGTTATGCTGGTTTCAAACTACGGTTCTAAGTGCAGGTTGCGGTTTATGCATTACGCAATCCGTTAGAAGTAGAGCGAGCAAATCCCAAGTCGTCGACGTTGTTGCTGCAGTTGATTTTATGTTGTGTTTTAAATTGAGGAAACGTAAAAAAAAAGCCGCGCATGACTCGTGTTTGCCCGCCGCGTGGTAGTAAATAGTCCGTTATTAATGGAATGTAGGTAGATGTTAAAGTAAAAGTGTTCTTGACCTGGTTTACTGGCGAACAAGATGAACGTCTACATACGCGAACCTGGGGGGAAAACGAAATCTAGCAGAGAGGCTGTGAACTTGTTTGCGCAAGTGGCTTGTTTTAATGATCGTACTTAAGCCTCAGGTACATGAGAATTGTATTATTTAGAAACTCTCAGCATTGTTTTGGGTACTTTAAACTACGAAACCACAAACGATTTTAACTTCTTATCTCTACAATCAAAAAAATTTTTTTCGAGATTTTATCAAATTGTAGTTGCAAATCATCAATTTTAATGAACATTGTAAACAGAAAGTGAACTTGTTTTCGAGATGAAAGTGATAATCAACAGAAAGTGGCGTTTTCAACATCATAAATATTTTGTAAATGATATCAACTCCATATGGAATCGACTTAATTTTCAGAAGGAAGGAAATTTCTCTATTAAAATTTCATATATTCATGCAATTCCAGTATTGGTATTCGAGGTAAGTCGTATAGATATTGCGTGTCAACGTTATGCGCATAGATTATTTCCGTTATTTCAACTAACGATCACCCCACGTTCTTGTCATTAAAAAAGATTTCGCCTATAGTTTCTAAATCGCAAACTTAAGCAATTCATGAAACAAAAATCTCATCTTTCCAAATACTTAATAATTAAAATTAATGCAAAGGTGAAGGATAAATTTCAAGACTAAAGTGAACGATGGTATTACACAACTATCTTAATTTATATCTTTGTGATCGTAACACACCAAAACAGATACTTTCTCATTTTACCAGGTGTGATGGGCGTATTTCTTGTTATTTTCTTTCGACAATTCGTATCGTATTTTTGAACTGAATTTACTGGAGAGGAATGGCGAAAGTTTTCTCTTCCATGTGTTAATGGATACAGCAACTGGAGTGTTTGAAATTTCTCTTCCGTATAACTCTAAACAAGTTTATCAATATCTAAATAGGTAAGCATTTGGGTTGATATACACAACATAAAATTTGTGTGTTTATAAACTTTATCTTACTTACAGCATACATAATTTTTGTGTTACATTGTTTTTCCTTACGGTACCTATACATTTACGGTTATTTTTACCTACTTCCTTTAAAACGTGTGTAGATTTTAAATTCTCTCATTTCATACTAACATATACTAAAAGTGCATATTATAATCTTTGAAAGATTGAAATGTGCAAAAGGGAATAAATAGAACAGTATTATATTAATTCTAGATTTTTTCAAATATATTTTTTGCTATAATCTTGTAGTTTTGATTGTTTCATATCGCAAACTATGTACATAGATGTTGTCCCCGTGTAACTAAGTAGGTAAAGTATTTGGAGAAAGCATAGATAACAACATATTCTTAGTCTTTTCTTGTTAGGATTTGTTTTGGCAAAAGGAAAAAAGTGGCGAAAGTTTGGTGTGTTATTTACTAAACTGATTCATTTTGAAGACCATTTGTTTGAAATCGTAAAATGTGAACATCGTATTCTGAAGTTTAAGCTGGCCCATTTAAAAACCTTTACTAAGAATAAATGCTGCTCACAAGAAAAAAGATGTATTTGAAAAGAAGAATGCCAATGCACAATTGTGCATACTTATTTACAAGGTATTATCCCAAGAAGAAAAACAAAATATTTAAGAAACAATGCAGTTCCATAACATTTTAACATTTGTAGTACAAATAAACTTGAGACCACTGGCAATTCAAATGTTGCCAACATTCTAAAAGATATTAGAAACCCGTTTATGAGGGCAACTGTATTCCAGATATGCATTAATAAAGTACACGCTAACACCGCGTTCCATGTTATTCATTATGACATTTAGTGTAATATCCAGATGTGAAGAGTACAAATTATCATACCACTTGTTTTTGCCAGTATCTGGACGAAGTTTTTCGATCTAGCTTAGAACTAATTTATAAATGGGGCTGTGCTGGGTCGCAGTAACTGCGTCAAATGTAAGTAAAGTGTTAGAGATCGTAATAAGTAGAACAATCTTCAATTTATAGAACGAAATACAACGTAAATTGTGCGAACTGGAGTTATTTGAAAACAAGTTGGTACTTCCACAAACAAGCGCACCGAGAAAAATAAAGTAACAAGGGACTAAGAAGCTTAGAACAAAAAGGGCAGACGTGGCAAGACTGACAAAGAGATATCAACGAGTTGTTGGACAACAATACACGTTAAGTGTAAAAAGGCGCTATGCTCGTATAATATTAATAACAAGGTAGTAAAGAAACTCTATTCTTTCGTGTTGTTTATAACGGGAAAATTTTAAACAAATAGTAGAGCTCTTCAGCTTGTTTAATGGCCACTTCTTTTTGCAATATCGATGCTGCTAAGGAAGAAAAAATTGTTAGCATTTTTACTTACTAAGAATGGTAAAACAGAAAGACGTAAATGATAGGAAGGCTTTGACACGTGATGTGAACAGATGAAAAAAAAGTTCAAAAAAGGATCTAAAAGGATATTGCTTCTATGAGTGTTCCAGAAATTTGTTGGGCTCCTACATTCATTGTTCCAGAAAGCAAATTGTACCTAAATTAATGAACGTGGCTCTTAATTCAAGATTAGCATTTGCTCAGCACAAAGGTTGCATAGATCGAGATGTCTTTTTAAAGTTTATCAACTATTTTGTTTAGCAGTGTCTACGCAAATACGTTGAATTCACAGTATCTAGGTATTACATTTTTGCAGTCGTTATCACTGCAATTGATGAAGATACTGCAAATCAAGGCAAGACAACGACTTTAAGAATGCATAGACAGAGATGCTACTCAAGCTGGTATCTTTCAAAACTGTACAACAAATAAAAATTAACAATATGGATTACAACTTTGGTATTTGATACTATCATGTTGCGATAAAGACAAATAAACATATCTACAAGTGGCGGTAAATGGACATATATGGTAAATGGAATATAACATTGCTGTTATTATCAATTGGCGCCCCCGTAACACTTCTTCACATAAAAACCTCTTCAGAAAAACCGTGATTTAAAATACCAAATCCGCTCTGGAACATGTACGGTCAATTCGAAAACGATTGATTTTGCGTTATCGTATATGAGCAGCACCGACAATAAAAAGTTCTTTGTTCTCTTCCTAGTATGAATGTTTTTCGTCCTACATAACTATGCGGTCGATGCGATTTTTATTTTTTGTAACTTTTGATTTTTAAAATCTCTTTTTTTTGTACTAATTTTTCTTGTTAAGATGAAAATGTATTAACCAACCTTAAGGTGAAGCATCCGAAAGTCCGCACTTCCGTTTGAAACTCTGTAAAGACAGAATAAACGATCGTCCAGCAGACAAACACGTTATTCTCCAAGTTCCTCGACTCAGATCTTCGGGGAATACCTCATGTAGTCTACCGGCAACTGGACAACGAAAATTTCCGTGTTCACAATTTTAACAATAGTTTTCAAAGAAATTCATATTTGTGAGATGAAATAATTTTTCGTATTTGTTATTGTGAAATTTCGTTATAATGAAAAAAGTATCAAAGCACAAGATCATAGTTTTTCTCGATATATGTAGAAATCCTCAAGTCACACTTAATAAGCAATCAATATTGATTATTACTAAGCTTCTATGCGATCTTTAACGCGAAATTAAATTGTTGAAGAAGATATAAATAATAATTTTCTTGACTACTTCATATATTTCATGAGGACATATATTCTACGAATATTATGAAAGAGGTCCAGAGTCAGTCTTCCTTAATAGATCATAAATTCTTCAAAACATTTCGCTTAACTCAACTGTAAAGTAGAGATCATTACGCAATGTCTAAGTTTGATTATGGAACGTGTGAGAGTGAAAATGATGAATTTAATTTTGCACTGAAATACCACTTGTATAAACTAGTTCACTTTTTACGTAAAAATAAAGGTGAAATTCGCTTCGTTGGTTTAATGTAGAGATTAGAAGAAAATTCTTATACTAACTTCTACAATGACTTCGTTTTGCGTCATTGAACTCAAAAATTAGTGTGTTAAACTTTAACAAGACGTTATTTTTATTTTAATATTTAAGTTTTTTCATTTACGAAGAAGATTTTCATGCGTAGAGAATTTCCAACATTTAATTTGTGGGTTAGTAGTACAACGATGAGCTGTTAGTAAGAAGAGCGCTATTTGCAAGCAAATCCGTGCCATATTTACTCATCTGAATTCATCTTATGTCATTAACCGTACTTGAGAAAGTAACGGTGGGCAATAGTTTAGTCGACTTTGCGGTTTATTATAGTCTTGAAGAGATTTAATCGCTGTTTCTCGGTACTAATTACTCTAAACATAGAACAACCACAACACGTTTTTGATGCACCTTTCGCTAGAACATTCGTTACGTCTCTCCGACAATCACCCGACGACGTCTTATTGTTAGTTTACAACTGAGATAACAATGGATATTTTACATGGTGTAACGAGCAACGTGTCACATAGCGTTCGGGACTTGGAAATTAATCTGGGTAATGGATACAAAACCTCTGCTGGGAATTATTAGTGCGCAATTATTTAGTTATGTGTGCGTGAGTTGAAAAACGCTAAAGTTATTCAGAGTTAAAAATTAAATTTTCTTGACAGCCATATTTACACATTTCTTGTAATTTTCTAATAATTAACGTAAGATTCTTAATGAAGTATCTAAATAATCTGTTATCTTATTTTCTTGTAAATATTGAGTAATATTAACAGTACACGCACATCTTAACTGTAAATTAAAATAGATTTTAAAAAACTTCGTTTGTACTCTAATTATTTAGAAAGCAAGAAAAAAGTTTTTATGTTGAGGTGTAATTGCAAAAAATCTTGAAAATGTTCGTACTAAACAATTATTAACATAAGTAATTAATCTAAGAGAAAAATAATGAATATGAAATGAAATTAAGTGAAAACATCCAAAGTAAATTAGTGTGCTCACTATTTTAATATGAAAGAGACACTGAAAGTAACTCGTTATCGTATATATATATGTTCCATTTTCGTGCAGGTGGCTGACCCAATTATAGTTTGTTCTTTTCGTTAGATGGAAAGTAGTCGTGTAGTAAAATAGAAACTTTAACGTTACTCTAGAAACCTTTGAACTAAAATGTAAGAGATGCTGTTGAGGATTAAATTATGTTACGTTATGACAATTAAATTGATTTAATTAAAAGTTTTTTTCTTCTTTCCACAATAAGAATCACCGTTACGACACAATTGAAAAATTGGGTAAGTATAGAGTCGTCTAATTACCATCATTGTTCTGTACTGGAAATAATTGCTGCGTTGCATTAGTCCGCAGCATTAGGTCTATTGTGTAAAAAGGAAGCTTTTTTTGATCAATTAATTTCTCCTATTGTGGTGTTGCAATGAATAGTACAAAGCTACTGTAAAGGTAATAAAAGCTTCTTTTTATAAGATTAATACAGAAATTATAAATTACTTTAACAAATATTTAAAAGTAAATCGAGTTAATTAAAATAACCATTTATGAAAATAATGATATTGCTCAACAAGTCACGCTCTCTCTTAGCATTTCTTTCCGGGCAATTTTTCGTATAATTAGGTCGATTTAAGTTATTATCTCCGCAATAAATGCTGCACAATTGCATTTTCATTTTTCTTTTCAATCGAATACCGCACCTCAAAGAAATCCTTCAACGACATTATCTCACGTAGACTAACGTAATTGAAATGCATTACGTTATTTTATATTTCATACGAAGGTTAATAACAAATTATCATCTTTTTAAGTTCAACGTTCCCTTTCGCTCTCTTATTACATATCTAATAAGCTGTAAGTAAAAAAATAAATCAGATTCCAAACATTATTGAAATTAACGGTCATTGTATTTAAACAGTTATACGATGATCTTGGTTAAACCGCAGATGTTCTACAAATTTATAGTCAATTAAAATATTTTACGATCAATAAACTAAAATTTATTTGTGACACAATAACGTATTTAATTTATTAATTACTGCCATAATAAACGATAAATAAAAATGTTTACTTACCAACGACTAGACATGTTAATAAAAAGACCATCCACAGCGTAATTAAGACACGTACAGTGGACCACATTATTTACAACGAAATACCGGCACGGACATTTGTGTCTTTTTCGTTTTTTAGTTTATGTCAATAATCATTCGTTTTCACTGGCACTAAATTGAAATGCTAATAATGTCTTTGCATGTTAACTACACCGCACCAGTTATCCTTGCAGCCACCGTCACTGTATCGTTTGAAACGAAATTTTTCTCTTCTTCGCACAGTTACCGTCGTCGTGGTCGCGGTTGATTAGAAAGGCAGCCATGCACTTCGTTAACGGTTCTCTAAACGTTTAACGTCGTTTTATCTGTAACAGAAAAGTTAAATACTTTAACCCACCACAGATTAACAGAGGTGGACGATGAGAAGAAGTGGTAGAAAATGTTGTAATCTTCAAATGGAAATGGTAACCTTGGGTGAAACTTTTCTTAATTATGAAATTATTTTTGTAATTTATGAAAAAGATGGCTTGATTAAGGATTATTAAAAAAATTATCTTAAGGCTATTTTAACTTATCAAGAAACTAATATAAATAATTAGCGGATGTAATCAAGGTAAGTTGGATTAAATAATAATTAACAGGAAATTTAAAAAAATTATTAAATGGTTCCTGGCGGAAATCTTTTTAAACATCTTAAATTACAAAATTAACCATAATTAAAATTGGTCTCATTACAGCTTGGATTAAGCAGGAAGTGAGACTTCTTCAATTGGAGATTAAGAAGCGAAAATGGTGTTAATCACTTCAAGGAATTAATTATTTTGTAATTAAAATATATTAATTATCTTAATTTTTTATTGAATGCAAATTTTTGTATTAAATAATGAGTAAAAAGGAAAATCAAAATCGGAAAAGCGTCAGGTCCAAACAACATCAGAGATGAAATCTTAAAACATGGGGATATCCTCACCACTAAGTAGGCAAGTGTCAAAGGATTAGAAGCAGAGTCAAGTATTGTATATAGCTATTCGATACTACCATGAAGGTTTTCACATAGCTTTTATCTAACAATATCACCAAACAAGTGGCGAAAAGAAGGACCAGGTTTCCGGAAGAACCGGTCCACAAAAGACGTAATTTTTATCATCCATCAAATCGCCAAAAAGGCACTGAATTCAATAAACAAGCATATCTTTGTTCCATGGATCCTGAAAAGACATCCGACGGACTCCAACCCATCCCAACCCAACCCAAACATCAATCAAACAACTAAACACAGATAACAAGACAAAACTAAAAACCCCGAACGGGGAAGAGCCAGAAATCAACATCAAAGCCGGAATGCGACTGAACATGCTAATGGACACTATAGTCAAGGGCCTAGATGGAGTAAATGTTGCATATACACCGGAAGGATCAACAATAAAGATTGTGTGCTTTGCAGAGAACGCCATCATCATCACGAATCGGAGAATGAAGTATAACTGCTTCTAAACGCTTTCAACAAAGCATGTGATAAGGTAAACATGATGATTGTTAATAAAACGAAATTGTGCCTGATAAAATATGCAAGAGATGGCAAAACATACACAAAAAGACCGATAGAAAGACCCTCAAAGCGATGGAAAGACAGCTGAACGTCAGTATCACAGAAGAAGCAGAACTAGGAAAGACGAAGCGTCATAACAAGTCATAAAGCTTTCGATAAGGAAAAAAGAAAGATTTGTAATAATAATTCGCTCTAGTCCGTTGAAGTATTTGGTTGAGGAGATTGAGTTCTCGGCCATTTCCAGAGTCAAGCTTTGGATTCTGGACAAAGAGATTGAAGCTAAGGGCAAAGACAGAACTCTTTGTATTCTAGAAAGACAAAACCCGAGCCTTGATATTCGAAATTAAACCAACTCTGTTGTCAAAGTTGGGTTGTAAAACTCATTGGATTATGTTTGCCAGCAGTCAAGAACCAATTATTATAGTCCTTTTAATAATGCATCTAATTATTTAATAAGTGTAGACTAGAGAAGACTGTTATCTTTCCACTAGAGCAATCCGGAATTGAGAATAAAGTGGTGCACGTTAATGCCTATTCATAGCCTTAGAAATATTCCAATTTTTATTCTGATACAAATTTTAATATGCCATTCCATTTCAAGCAACCTTTTGCTTTGCAACCAACACATTGATATGTTTTTTCTCAATCAGAGTAAATATCAAATTCTCCTTTGAATAAATGAATCTTTTTATAATTTTGTATTAGATTCCAATAAAATTCAGTCAATTCATATTTATTAATTTATTAATAAATTGGTGTTTCGTTATATTTTGAAATATATTTATTTTATATGCAAAATAGTGTTTAAATTGAAACCACTTTCAAATTACTTTTACTATACCCACACTATCACCGCCATTGATAGAGTAATGAGGTCAAGTTGTCAAACCAATACAATCACTTGAAAGTGATCAATTAATAATCAAATAAAGAGATTATTCCTTAAACAGATTTTCAAAACGTTTCGATATTTTACCTATACATTCCCACCAAGTTATTTTTCTCACCAAAGAATGTTGTAATATTAAAAAAAACAATAAGTTTAAGTAAGATAATATTAAATGAAGCACATAACGTCATCGTAAGAAAAGTTTCCCATAAGAAAAGTCTTCTTAACGAAACTGTGCCAAACAACACGTTCACTTTACAGTGTACATTTTCAGTTTACTTTAATTAAAACCCTCATTAAAACTTGAATTTTGCAATGAGATAACAATATTTAGTAACACTCAGAAACAACCTGCTGCATTATTAAGAGGATTTTAACCTCATGGGGAAATTTTGAAAGTTAACGCGTTTGTGCAGGACAAATAGATGAAAATGTCCGGAGTAATAATACTATTACTTCTTTAGAGACTTCAGTGAAAGAGATTTCAACTTTATACGTGACATATGTATGAATAGAACAATTTCAGAACGTTGAAGCATATCATGGATTCGAAAGGAAGTGAATTTCCTTGTTATTGTTCGATCTTCACGTTTCCTTTTAATTGAGATTGATGTAGCGGAAAAATACTTCCTTAGATATTAATTGGAAAATTTTGAAATAACTTGAACGTACTCGAAATTGAATAACTTAAAAGTACTCGTTAATGTAATCAACAAGTTTGGACCATCCACTGGACATTTAATTTAATTCACAGTTTAGCTTATCCATCATTGAAGTTGCTAATTTATTTTCTAACTATCGCGCAAAAATATGCGTTTGGAAAAGCGAAGGAAAATCAGGTTAAACATTTATTTTCACTTAATGTAATGAAATGGAATGTTGGTTTCTTAATTTTCATAATAATAATCTCTTTTTATTAATCAAACTTACCAAATATCTACATATATTTCTACCTAAAGATTTAAAAACTACATAATGAACTTTCTAATGACTCATCACTTCCATTATGACTAAATCGTAAATTTCGAACCATGGTATCCATTACTAAGAAACATGCTGATACCATGTAGTCGTTGCGTGTTAACAATCGATAAAATTTAAGCGAATTTAAACGGAGACGCGATCGCTTACATAGTGGAACGATAAGCCGACGGCGTGAAAGTGCTTCACGATTTATGGTGATAAAAGCTATGGATTTTGCAAGAAGAACTGCTCGACACATATAAGTACTTTGCTGAGGAAATGTTTTAATGTTCGTGATCGCAAACACTAATTAAAATGCTTCCGGTGTCACTATGATACGATTCTTACATGAGAAAGTTATTTTCCTCATAGCCATGTGTAATTTAAAACCTCGTGAATTATTGAAAAACTTTCATCTTGAACTTAAAAAAAAAGTATTCTTTTTCTAACCACATCTTATAAAAGAAAAATATTAAATTTAAATGAGTTCGTTGGTTTGTTTATTAATGATAACAAGAAAGTTTCAGTTGAAAACTTTCACTTTAAAATGATCTCCTTAAACGACACCTTAACTCCTTATTGGACCAATTATAATTAATATTAACCCTTACTTGAAATGTTATGGTTGTTAATAAAAACGTGGGACGTTATGATCGTTCGTAAAACGTAAATGGTAATGAAAACACCAAACTTTCTAATTATTTTACGTTAAATAACTTGTTCGGATGCACCTAGTACGACGAATAACACGAAAACTTTTCGTTAAACAACAAACTTGATAATGCTGTTATAGTTTGTTTTCGCAAGCAGAATTGCTAGAAATTCTTGGAGACAAGAAGAAAAACGAGTAAAACGGAAAACCGTTTTATAACTTTTAAAAAACAAATGAAATATCAAAAAACTAAAATCAGAATTAATTATCTCTACATATTCGTTTTAAAATTAGTTGAATTATAAAAGACATAAATAAAAGCTACAAAAACAACTAAAAATAATGTAATGATATATCAATCATAGAAAAATAATAACAAGAAAAATGAAATTTTCTCGTAAGGCGGATTCTATTTTCGGTGATGAAATCGGATTACACCAGAACAAGACTCATTTTATCCGTATTTCATTCTTTTAAAGTAAAGTAAAAAGATTGCACAATGCCATTTCTTATTGTTCTTACATCACGGTGCATAGTTCTGAACAGGAAAAATGGACATTGTGAAACTTCACGCTTAAGACACTCCACACACTATATTTAGAACTTCCTCGAGTATAATAACCATTCATTGTCGCTGACAGTTATTATAATTCCAACTCTCAAAGAGTCGTATTTATTATCTGTTTCACTCGATTAACATAGCTTTAACAAGGGCACAAATGGGAAATCCAACCTAAATAACGAAAATCTTATTTTATAAAAAGCTGTAACAAATACTGAATGACGGATGTTTACCGTAATCGGATGCAAGCTTTTCCCATAAATTCGGATACGATTCTAGTTAAATGGGTAAATGTGTTTAACCTTTTAACACAAATACCACTTTTGTTACGGTACATTCGTAATTCGTTTTAATTTAATAAAAATTACTGTTGCATTGTTATGGAATTTGTATTTAATTAAATTTAATATCAATATTTGTTTCAAAAACATTTGGGTTACGTTGTAATTTGAAAATATCTCTTTAATGAACTAAAATAATATGGCACAGTACTATTTAATAAAAAAAATTTAAATAATTTTTAAAAGTTATTATTATTTAAGAGATTTTTCACTGATTTCGACAAAAATGAACAGATTTTCACAAGAAGACCATGTTACAGTATTATTAAAGAGAATTAGAAAATGGCTTAGCAAATAAACAACAAGAATAAAGAGATGAAATGACTTTTGTTTTAAGCTTGATTAACACCCATAGATTATAAGATTTTATTAAAATTACCACATCTTTAGTTTTGTTATCAAACATTCTCTTAATATACTTCGTACTTACAAGAAAGTAAAAAAGTAGATTAATTTTCTGAAACGTTCTCTACCATTTCTACAGTTGAAACGTTGAAACCACCAATTACACCAAATCTAACTCACTCAATCTTACTTAGATTGATTTATTTCAGTCTCTGTGCCCTAACCAAAATCAACCACGATTTTATCTTTTCCACATAAATTAATAAATCGATATATCTTCCAGTTGAAGTTAAGGTTGAAAGCAAGTTATAATCCGCAAATTCCGTTCCAGTAGTAACTTTCTTATTTCGTGGGTGTTAAAAGTGTCGTGTAGAAACCCTCATATAAATCTTTTTACCCGAACCCGCACATAACTCTTTGGCCGTTTCTATCGTTCCCAGTGGAAAGTGATGGTCTTCATAAATTTATGTTTTTTTTTAATCTTTAAAAAGGCAGAGAAAGTAATTTTTGTTGAATTATTTACCAAGAAATAGAATGTAAAGGAAAAAATATTATTTTGAAACGTGTAAAAAATAAATAATAAAATTATTCAATCGTTACATAATTAAAAAACCCTTGACACTATTTATTGATTCAACATTATTTATTGATTTAACACTATTTATTGATTCAACACTCTATTAATGATTTTAATAGTGCTATTACACTCTAACCGCGTGTTGTTAAACTTTTTATGAACGTCCAAGTTATTATTTGAATCAACAACTCTCGCTATTGCTAAATGTCGTGCTACTAGAAGTGACGTAAATGATACTTGAAGATGTAGCATTTTTTCACACATTTTACATCATTAAAAACGATTTTCTTTTATTAATTCTTTTGCGACTATATTTACAAAAAAAAAACAATTTGAAAGTGTTTCAACCAAAAATTCTTCGTGAAGGTTCATCGACCGCAATTTAACCACCGTAACGGTGAAGGTATTCGAACTTAAGGTCCAACATAACTGTTATCTGTCCAAAGCGTTTTATAGCTTACGATATAATTTCAGTTTTGAAAATAACGGACATCTGGACAATCATTTCTTTGTTATTAACATTTTACGATTTTTGTTTAATTGCTGTGAAAATCTTTTATTACCTTCATTTTTAAATATCTGAGAAAATTATTTCAACAGAAATTTAAATGTTGATTCTTTTATTTTATATGTATTTATTGCTATGAGTGAAATATATAGATTCAAGGCATCCAATTGATTTTTTAATTCGTGTGTAAGTTTGAATGTCTCCATTTATGTTAGGTTGTCTTCAAGATGTATGGTGATTCTGTTTGATTCGTTCGATATACAAAGAAATAAACTATAAGAGTAACCTCAGCATCACAGTGTACTTATAGAAGAAAGATAAGTTGTTCAGAAGTGGAAAGAGTACAGGTAAGAAGCGAGATTACAAGGGGGGGGGGCAAAAGTTTCATACCGAATGTACGAAAATGGACTGAAAGAAAACAGTAACAAGTGGGGAGCAATCTTATGCATAAGCATCTTGCATAAGATTGGAAAAGCTTTTCTAAGAAAATATAAAAAAAATATTTTTTGGGTTTTTGGGTTATTCCGGAGAAGCAGAGAGAAGAGGCTTTTAGTCGATTGGAGAATTAGAAATGAACTCCAACCCAACACTACCTACTCGTCTACGATTCAAGGCCATTTATGTGCTAGCTATTCCCGATCTCGATAACGAATAGTGTTGTAGTACTTGAATTAAGTTAGACTGTAAATTCAATATTGTTCCATTACATTTTTCTTTTATTGTATTACTTGACTTTTAATTTCTTTTTCCTTTAGTGCAAGAAATTCGGTTTCTTCCTATGGCTTAGACTTTGTAATTGCGACCACCAGATAGAGAGTTAATTTCAAAGTAATTAGATTTGTTCTTGATGGGTAAGGATAGGGATCAATCATACCAAAATATAGGATGCACGATCACTTGGAGACTTGATTCATTAGATTTGAAAAAAATTAAATATAATCCAATTTAATAGTCTTAAGCAATGTCAATGCAAGATGTGTCATATATAAAGAGTACAATATCTGTTTTATTTATAGTTTCATCATAACAAACAGTAAGAAAAGTACCAGGTTCATCACCGAACTTGATAGTACATTGTAGATAAACTGAGAAGATGAAAGACCGCATTAATTCAATTGAACCTACAGTTTCATCGAAGTTATCTAACTTACATAGCAGGATGTTATCGATTACACAGTTGAATGCTTTGGTTAAGTCATAGAAATTCTGCGTATACTTTTTAGGTTCAAAGCACTCCTATACTTGAGTATACCAGAACACTTCTAATATTCAATAAGAATGCCCATTAGTTATGTTATGAATTATTTTAATAATTTTTTACCATCTTATCGGAATATATTTTAAAATCAAAATTTCAAAATTCATTATATTAAAGGAATTGGCTACAACTCAAGCCAGTTTCAATTACTTATTCCCTCGTAAATTCATATAAAAGAAAAACAAATTAAAAAGTTTAGATCAAACATTTCTTTAATCAAATTGAAAAACTTTTTTTATAGTTGAAGAAAGTTTACCGCACACTGAAATGATTCCTCGAGACTAACGTTACTAGGTAACATACTGACCTTTATAGTGAATCTCGATCTATCCGTCGGACATCCAAACCTAGTTTACAAACTCTCAATAGATACCACTTATACCCTTGAGGTTAAAGACTCCCCACGTGTTTCGTTTAGGCGATTAAACTCACGCTCGCAGCAGCACGCATTCAAACTGAGAGCTCAAATCGTACTGAGGATATCGCTCATGTAGAGAGTCCAGTCTTCGATGGCCTACAAAAAGTTGTAGTAGAGACAATTTCACTATGCAGCGACCAGACATCTGTTGGTGGTGGAATAAGTGCTATAATAAACACACCTAAACACTTAAGATTCTTTTTACTTGAAATCTTTTAAGAATTAAAATTCAATATAAGCTTTTTTGTAATGAAAATTTACAAGTAATGACATGGCCATTTACAACTTTCACTTTAAAAGTTCATTTGCGGTGAGTTTTTAATAAATAGAAGGGGTATTTTTTTATTAAATTAATTTTATTTCCAAGAAAAATATCTAATTATAAGACAGGATTGGCTATCAAGATAATATTTACCCTTAAAGCAAATAAGGATAAAAATACTACCACCTTCGTACGTCAGCAAAAATAGTATCTTATAACTTTTTGTATACGTCAGAAAAGTTACAGCGACGACGAGGACGATGACAGATCGATCAAGTTAAGCTTTCAGCACTAAAACCAAAAATACGACGAGACGAGCTTTAAACCAGTATACAAGAAGGGGATATTTCAAGCGTGATAAACGTGGACTTGATAGGTTTATTGCTTCATTTCAAGTTATATCTTAGACGTACTCTTATCTTTTCCAAGTTTATCCACATACTTTTATAAATGTTTGACACATTCTTCCAAAATTTTAACTAAGTTAAAAACATAGTTTCAGGAATAACTGCATCAAATTAATGTAAATTTTTAAAAATTGCTAAAATTACATTATAAAATATTTTAACACTATTCGCATGGAAATAGCAACACATGGTGAAAATAACATTACAAGATTTCTCGATATCATGATGATGTTGCATATGAAACGTTACAGGTTGGCGCATGCAAAATCAATTATCGCACACACATGCGGTACGATACAATACAGTTAGTGATACAATTGCAACGGGAGGTAATTTTGCTTCGTGGATTTTGCGTTCCCACGGAAAGAAAATTCTGGTAAAAGAAATGGGACCATCGCATTGTGACTAATAATAACCGAGAAAACAGTTTCTAGTATGACCACTTAAAACAATGTCCTAGTATTTGCATTTTTGTGAATTAAAAGAAATGTAGGATGTTATAAAATTTTAACGGTTTCTATAACAGAAAATGTGATTATTTGGTTGCCTAATATTAAGAAATAAAAATTAATTTTATTAAAAAACTGACCTCGTATAAGTTAATCTTTTAAACATATTACCAATTTATTATTTTTGACAACCGGATTTGATATAAATAATTGGTTTATCTATTATGATTTATGTATGTTGACAGACTTTATTTCTGCCTAATATTCGACAGTGATTATCTTAATTACTTATTTATGTATAATAATTTGGGGAAGATAAAATTTTTGGTACAAAAAATATTTTTAGTGTTATTTTGGAGCGGACTTATTTACTATGATGGAGTAAACGCATCATTTATCAAACAAACTTTGTTTAATTTTATAGTTGACTAAAAGGTTACTTAAGCTATTATTATTAAAAAAGATAAGGATGATATCAAATTTAGCAAAAATGTAAAAATCTTTGAACTTTGAATATAGCAAGAAAGAAAAAGATGCACTTAAGCTCTTATAAATAAAACACAACATATTTAAAACGTTATTCGTTTATCACTCAAGTATATTTGGAAAATGTTGGATATGTGTTCAAACACATTATGCTCACCAAGGAAAACTATTCAAATATGAAATTGTTTAACGGCAACTATTGAAAAAATTGTTAACTTACACAATTGCATAGTAACAAAGTATGCTCGTAATTTAGTATTTCTCCTTTTGACCGATGATTGTTATTTTTTCTAAACTATACGGAATCACGTTTCGACTTATTGTTTTTGAATCACGATTATGCTCAATAGTAGATTTGAACAACATCGAAAAAATCTTGTTTCATTTCGTTTGTAAAAGAATGTCATAAATGAGATGAAGCATAAAAAGCAATAATAAATAATCTTTTATTTGATACCAATCGAACAACATTTTAAATTAAAGAGATAATTGAAGGAAATAAAACTAATTCTAACTTACAATTCCTTCTGTCTTATATTTCCGTAGATCGTTCCAATTACCCAGTTTTATAACAATAATTCCAATTGTTGTTCTCATAACGGTTAATCCGTTATTAGTCCACGTACAGATAAATAATAAATGAGTACTCTATTTTTTTATCATGCTCTCATTTCCTACTATCGCATTATTTTTTTGTATTTTGCATTGTTTAAACTTAATAAAAAATATGCGTAAGTACATAATCTTTATGGCATACATAAACTTTGCACATTATTGAATCCACATGCCACTTTACATGATAATAATCAAAAACATTAGGTATCAGGTGTATGGGATATAAGTACCACGTGTATGACTAACTGACTTTAAATGATATTCATTAATAATTTCCTACTGTATATTCATCTAACATAAATTTACAATAATTCATCCATATTTATTCTAAATTTATTTTGAAATATCAGTAAAATATTAAATAAGTAAAAATGGAAACAATTAAAATTTTAATATTATTTACAATTACTCAATGAAATATAAATATGTTACATAAATCGGTATATTAAATAAATGCAAAAATTAACCTTCGTAATAACCAAGTTTACTGAATAATGTAAAAGTATACGAATAAAAAATAAAAAGGAGAACGTGATATGTTTCCTTTTATGCTTAATAAATTCAGTCACTACTCTTCAACTTAATATTTCTTAATTGATGTATAACAGTTTGAAACCGACATCGTATATAAAAAAATATTTTAATTATTTTAAAATCTATCATTTTCTATTATGATGTATAACTTTATCGCATTTTGAGCAACTCTAAACAAGTTTTTGAACCAAACTCACTTAATTAAATAAAATTATTAATAATTACAAGTAAAAAATTTAATTTCAAGGCTTTATCCAATGGTAATTATATTATATCTGACCTTATTACTAACCTTACCACCATTCATTTTTCTATGGAGAAGCAATCTGTTCTAAATAGTTTTGGCTCAATAACTCAAGGTAGTTATTAATTACGATGTAGTTAATAATAAAAGCGTGGTCAAATACCCCTTTTTTCGTTTTATTGATTTTCTTGTCTTGGAGTCATCTGGAGATATTTGTATTAATCTTATCAGGATTTTTTGAACATTTCTATACAGAACGCGAACATGTTGAATGAAACTGTTAATGGACTATAATCAAATTAACCTGAAAAGAAAGTACAGAATGAAAAAATGAAAATGAAATGTTGGCCCAAAATGTAACGCTTGTATAATAATTTTCTTCCTTAATTATTGAAATTTTAGATAAGCTACCAACAAGAAGTACTTTAGTAAACACGACCATTAGTTATGCACAAACGACATCTCATTCTGTCAAGAAGATTTTTATACGAACAACCTGATATGCCGAATCTTACAAAAAATAATCAAACAAGTTAAAGGAAATAATAATACAATGATGAAAAAATGGACAAAATTTACTAGATCTATTAATCACTGAAAACTTCAAGATACAGATATTGGTGGTTTACTCTGAAATGTACATTAGAAATGAAAGCTTCTTTAAAGCGGGTAACTACTCGTTATATGCTGTATTACATTGTACTTGTAGTAAATAGGGTGAAACTGCAATAATTATAAAAAATCATATCAAACAAACACCATAAAAGAAAATCTTCTATCATAATATTCTAGTTACATATGTGAGTTTAGGCGTTAGGCTTGGTCAACTAATACCAAAAATCATCAATGGGAACCTAGGAATTACAAGACAAAACATGCTACGTATTGGCAAGTTAATTCATTAAGAACTTCAGATTTCTTGTTCTGTGATGGGCAACATTCGTCTTTCTTTCTGCACATCTTGAGTCAAGCAAAATTTCCTGGCAAATATTTATGGTTGGGTTGGGTAAGCAGATCTTGTTAAAATTCAGAATGAAGAATGGGCAAAGGACGCTTATAAGATCATTTACATGATATGACTTCAGTAACCACAATTACCATAATTTTATTTATATAAAGATTTTACTTATAAAGTACTCACTCCATGTTAATTTTCCAATACTTACGTGTCCAATACTTAAAGTAGTATTAAATACGATTTTCTCCAAAACTGTTGTCTTTAGGTTAGTACAGTTCGTGGCTTTTAAAAACTATAACTGATCATCTTGCAAGTCTCTCATAAATGTCTTAACGCTCTCCCTAACACAGTACTTAGAATTTTTAATATAGGAGCCAAAGAATAAAACAATTCACAACAAGCAAATAAACATGGCAGAACGTTTGCTGGGTTCTTGCAAATCGAAAAAAAAGACACGGAAACTCTTTTTATACTCACGTTATCAAATTAAATAAGTATTAAAACGTTGTTTCGAATTGATTTTGCATAATGTATCAAACAAATGTTTATTGTGTAAGTGTTAATTGGTGTCGGGAGAATCGTGATTGAGTAACTGAAAGCCCGTCATCACCGACGAAATGCTGGCAGATACAAAATCGATCAAATTTAATAGGGTTTAAGATTATTGGAAACGTCATTCGTCATGTAATCTGTTTATAAGAAATATATTTTACGTTTCCTTTATTTTTTTTTATAGTATAATTTTATTTTTGTTGTGGAACAATAATATTTCTTATCGTTTTATGTAATTAATAAAGTAATACGAATGAGTTCTTGATTTTGATAAACTTTATTCCAAACTTTAAACACTAATCGAACATGATAAGAAAAATACGATAAATACTCTCCACAAGCCTCAAAGAAAATTGAAAAATTAACAGAAGCGGTCTAAAAAAATGTATGGTAAAACAATAAATGAAGAAAGATAAAGAGAAGTAAATGAACGATCACAAAGTAAAAAAAACAAGATAATAAATTCATAATAAAGATGCAATAATGAATTATTTACAATTTCAACGCATGTTGAGTGGGATAGTGGAAAAACAGATTGAAGGTGCCGAAAAAGTGATTATATAATGACGAAAGAAATGAAGGAGGCTTACTTGGTGAATAAGGAAAGGATATTCGAGAGGAGTATGAAATGGTATAAATGGTTACAAGTCTTGTAATGCGAGAGATTTTTATAATCGGATTCAACCTGGTAAGATAAACGTTTATATATCCTGAATATATCATAACAACATCGCAAAAAATTTATTCTTCATGAATTTGTCGGTATACTGGAAAAATATTGTTTCTAATCTTAACACTGCAACTTTCGTTCAATTTTCAATAAAATATAACTATTAAAATGATTTTTAACAAAGGCGTTCTTTTTAAATTCACCAACATTCAAAACAATTTTATTACAAAAATCATATATCCGAAGTTGCTTGTTATGATTTTTAGGGAAGTATAGCTCATCCCTTGATATCGTGAGGCTGGATGTTGAGGGTTAAATCTAAAACAAAACAATCTAAGGGTCTTGATAGAATCTTAGAAAGAGATCAGAAGAGAATTAGTAGATTATGACAAACAAAATGGCACAGAATATTAGGACAGGGTAGGCGTTAGAAGGACCGAAGAGATAAAGTGGAAACTTTTGGATGAAGGGCGAGGAAAAAGATTGTAGATTACTATATATAGTTAATATACAATATTTGTAAATTGGTTTTTTATTTTCTGTTTGACGTCAAAACAAAACTTTTTTTTGTTATCACCTGCTCAACATAAACATAGATAAGCAAAATGTTTTCATTTTTAAATCAACATTCTCAAATAGTTACTGTAACTAGGCAATGAATTGATCCACATTTGTAGAATGTATTAAATGCAAGTTCAATCAAACCCAAAAAAAATATCAAACTATAACTGCAAAGATATCGTCTTAATTTAAAAAAATAAAATTGGCGTATTCGAACGCCAATGATCCACAACCCAGATCAAAGAGTACGATCTCATGTTCATACAAGAAAAGCCCCTGATTATCCGAGGTTATGAAAGGTTATATTACGTATGTCTACGGTAATAATGGCGACATGTGGACGAAGGCCCGCCATTCGATCGAAACCGCACTTCAAATTCCGACAAGGTCGACTTGCAATTTCGAAAACCAGTTCAAAATTCATCTCGATTTCGCAATTCGAATCGCTTTCTCTGTTATATTCATACACACAATAAGAAAACTCAACAGTTGTGGTTGGTTTTAGTTAGTGTTAGTATCGATGATGATTTCTATGGAAAAACTGATCTTACTCAACGTGAATCTACGGGATGTGCGAAATGTTAAGCTTTTTAAAATTTCTTATCACCTGTTAAGATTTACGGTTATCTATACCGCAGGAAATGAGTGGGGCATCCATATAAAAGCAGCGAACTGCAAAAGTATGACCACCACAGTTATGAGAGGTGTTTGTTATACACCATGATTTTTAAAAGTTTTTTATTGATTTTTGTAATATTTTCCGTTTGTTTGATCACAGTAAGTAAAGAATTTTATTATTAAAGTACACTTTATTAAGATTTTTTTTATTATGTAGTCCGGTTATGTTGCACATACAAGGCAAGGTACTATACGAGGTGCGAAGAAAGTAACTTCAGATGGTCATATGTACACATATTTGGGAATACCTTTTGCGAGACCACCTTTAGGACGCCTCAGATTCCAGGTAAGCCTTTAAAATTATCAAATTATAAATAGCATGCAAGTATTATTTATCATATGTTTATATCATCTACTAGATTAGATACACAATAATTTTCGGCATCGTTGTTATAACCAAATTTTAAGTTTTGAGACTAGAATATTAACTATCACGGCATTAATAACTCCAGCTACTTGAAATCATGATAAAAATACTGATTATTTGTGTTCAATATTTGAACGTTTAGTTAACACTTAGAACGACGCAACTACTATAAGTTATATTTTATAAAATTCAATTTCAAAATTATCCAACAATTTTTTATATCACTTGTATCTATTTTTAGAAACGTTTTTGTTTATTAATATTAGGTATTCAACAACTAAAATGATGAAATTGTTTATTCTACTTTTCAATATACTTTGAAGATTAATACCTTTGTTAATAATTTAGAAATATTCTCATGGCAAGCAAGTATGTTAATTTTAATAATTGACAATTGTATTTGACATTTAAATCACTGGTTGCTGTAAAAAAATAGGTAATTTGATAAATATTCCTTTTACTACAATAAATTCCTTTTTATTATCGTTGAACAATTATGCAAAAAACAGAGTTTATACTGCACATTGTTCACATTATGATTTTTTATTTAATTGTATTAATAATTTTTATTTAAACAATTATTAGTAATAAAAGTTGCACCAAAAATTATGCAACAAATTATTTTTATTAACCCCGATGAAATAATATCCAATTAAAATTTAATTTTAAACTCTGTTAACTTTAACATAATTAAATTATAGTAAATAAGTTGTCAACAATACGGAGAAAGCGCAATAATTATCGATAAAATAACACTAAATCGAGTTTAATTTGGAAGTTATGTTATAAAAAATAAACCTCGACCAGCATAAATTATTATTCCGAATAATTCATTGAAAACGAGTTTATTAATAACTCAACAAATACTAACACAAAAAAGTTGTTTAACGGATATTCGACATTCTTGTAAAATCGACTTTTCTGTGAATCTATTTAAAAATTATTTAAACTAATTTTTATATAAACATTCACACTATTTTTATTGATAAGAAAATATTCGTAAAATTATTTAAAATTACTAATGTATTTGAAATTTGTAAAGTGAAATAATAGTTGAATCGTAAACTATGTACGTTGATTTTTGTTATTGCTAATCAGAATAGGTTGAAATTGTAATTTCAAAAATTTCACTTTATTTTTGTTAATTAACTTGCCACAATTATTTAGTTTGCATTAGTTTTGGGCCACAAAAACAACTTTAATAATACCTTGACTTGAATGAATAAATAACTTAGACAAGTTTATTTATAGATTATGAAAACAATATTTTTAATTTTTAACAACAATCTTAAGATTTTCGCAATTATCAACTAATTGCTTTCTATATCATTATCATAGAATCGTTTCACAACCTCAATATTTAACCTGTTATTTTAACCAATTATTATGAAGTTAGAGAAAAACCTTTATTGATATCCCCAGAAAACTATACGACATGGCTATAATAGGGAAGATGTATTTCTTAAGAGTACAATACAATCCCAACATAATTCGCAAATTTTAGTTTACTCTAATCCCAGGATTTATTAAGATATCTTCTTCGTCTCCAGAATTTTGAGGAATACACAGGTCCCTTATGATTTGCAACCTTTATCTGCAATGTAAGATTATCTTCTCTGCAACATAATGTGTTAAACTAAACTAAATACTTCATCTTATTTCTAAGAAGGATTGACTCCGCTCGCTCGCTGTAACTTGAGGATTATTAATTTCAAACTTCGAATGAGTTCAATCCCCCATCATTTTCAAATCATCATTGTCTCTATCCTAATCCTCGGATAGGAGGTTGATGCGCTCATGCTAATAAAATAAAATCAGTGTTTCAACGTCTTTCCAATTCTTGGAGCTCTATAAAATAAGCTTTAATTCTTGTCTACTCAAAAGGCTGAGAAAGTGATGACCAACTGATCCTCGTTGAATCTGGTTGAACTAAAACAGTATTTAATGATAAAACCATTTTATTTTATTTTTTATTAAAAAGTAATTCATCAACATTAAATCCACGTGTTTCTTTATCGCAAAAATTCAGATAAAAGTCGGCACGAAAATATAAAAAGAAATTAAATAAACTTAAATTAAATTAGTAATAAGAAACTCAATTACAATAATTACGTAGACTAAATATGTTATTTCTGTTTTCAATAGGGCACGTGTTTTAATGAGTTATTATTAATATTTTTTTGTTCATTTGTTCGATAAGTATTTATAAACAAGAATATATATAATTATGATTCCATTGAAATTAAATTAATCATCAAACAATTAACAGTTTTTAATGTTTTTTCCTTGTTATTTCCACAACATGAACAATTAAAAACTTTCCCGTGCGAATAAAAATAAAGGTTCAAGTTCAAAATCACGTAATTACTTAATGGTGCAGTATAACAAATTGCAACGATAAATTTAAGCGAATGTTATTTTTCTATATTTACCATTCATTTAAACGTGTTCACGTTATTAAATTTAAATTAATAACATTAAAGAAAATGAAATGAAATTAATACAGTTTTTCGAATGTAAAAGCAAAATAGTCCAGCGGTAAATAATTATCCTACCTCAGTATAAGTAATTACTTTGGTTTCTCGAATCTAAGCTACACGTGCGGACTTACGTGTAAAATTAGAATGAGTCAACAACATGTTGACTCATTTTGGAAGATGATACCATAAGGATTTATTACATAAGTTGAAGGATTGTTATCCTTAGTATTTCTAGATATAAAAAAAAAGATTTAAATTCTTTTCAATCGATTTTAGCCACCTCAACCAGTAGTAAAATGGAAAGACACCAGAGATACAATCACTCAAAAACCACAATGTGTGCAGTCAAGGAGCACTTATGTTCGAACAGATAAGATTGAAGGATCCGAAGATTGTCTATATTTAAATGTTTACACACCAATGGTAATATAATTTTAATTAGCTTTTCCCCCTTAAGTTCAAAAGTGATTTAAAAGTAAACGAATGAAATTTATTTTTTTACAGGATCCGAGCAAAAGAACTGACCAAGTTTATCCAGTTATGGTTTGGATACACGGTGGTGGATTTTTTGAAGGCGATAATGGTTATGATTTATATCCACCAGAGAATTTCGTAGCACAAAATATTATAGTAGTTACAGTTTCATATCGATTAGGAATATTCGGTTTTATTAGTACGGGCGATTTAATCGCACCAGGAAATAACGGATTAAGAGATCAAATTATGGCGTTAAAATGGGTAAACGAAAATATTGAAAGTTTCGGTGGTGATAAAAATTCCATAACAATTTGGGGTGAAAGTTCAGGAGGAATATCGGTATCCCATTTACTATCTTCGCCATTAACCAAAGGATTGTTTCATAAAGCGATTACTGAAAGTGGCGCTTCTATTTCTGCAGTGGGTGTAGGAATTGACCAACCTCTCTTAGCTTTTGCAACCGGATCATTATTAAATATAAATGCTACTAACAGCGAAGAATTAATTACACAACTTCAAAAGGTCAATTTTAAAGAATTACAAGCAGCTGCTTCACGAGCTGGAATTGCTATAACCGTTGAGCAACCTTTAATAAGATATCCTTTTACGGTAGTTATTGAACCAGAACATGAAAACGCTGTTCTTTCAAAGTCGCCGTATGCAATTTTGGAAAATGGAGAAGTTCCTAAAGTTCCGATTTTAATGGGTTTCAACTCAAATGAAGGTGATGGTCTTCCGGATGCATTTGCTAGAATGGCCTTAACAGCGTCTAATTTAGCCCCAGCTACTTTAGTTCCAGTTGGATTGAATTTGAATACGCCAAATGATACTAATACAGCCAATTTAGTTGGAGCACTTATTAAAGAGCATTACTTTCCCCGTGACACAACAAATTTTGCAGAACCACACTTTGTTCATGTAAGTATTAAATTATTATATAATATTGTCTTGAATTAATTCACGTTCTCAATTACTAGTGGTATGGAGATACGCACATGATACGTCCAATAATACAGCAAGGATTATTACTTTCAAAGTTCACCGATGTGTATTTCTTCGAATTTAATTGTATAGGATATTTGGGAAATCCTCTAAGATCTAATTGGAATGGCGTCGGACATGCTGAAGAACTCAATTATTTATTTAAGAGACTAACACAACCAACTGTTTTATCTGCGGAGGATAAGCTTTGCAGTGAAAGAGTAGTAAAATTATGGGGAAATTTTGTCAAATATAGGTAAAAAGATAAATTTGTGATGTTTGTATTTTTCTGATTTTGCAATTTTTGATTTTAGTAATCCAACTCCTGAAAATGATCCTTTATTACAAGAAATTATTTGGCCAAAAACAGCCCCGACACCCAATATGTGCTACTTACATGTGGACAAAAACTTATCAATCAGGGTTAATCCAGATAAAGAAGATTTTCAATTTTGGACCAATATCTTTGAGACATACGGAAAGAGACCATTGACGACCTTTTAACTGTATTATATCTATTGTATTATAAGATGTACCTGATATTACAGATAATTTATTATTTTAAATATTCTACTTCTGATCTAGAAAGTTATAACTAGATGTAGTGCAAGAACTTTTTATTTTTGGGATTAAGAAGGATAAGAAGTTTTTTCGTTTTCAAAACTACCTCAAAACTCGATTCTTAATACTATGAATAAAATGTGCTACAACAAAAGTTAAATAATTATTAATATGCATTTTCTAATTTATAATTATTATATTAAGAAGATATTTTAAAAATGTATAGATTTAAAAAATTTGCAAAATTAAAGGTGCTCTTTAAAAAAAATTTTTGATGATTGTCACTAACAGCACCTATTCCACAGCTATTCCACATGCAAACAAAAGTATATAATATACACAAAAATAATGCATTTGTGTACACGATATAAAAAATATCGTTTCGTTCTTCATGGAAATGCAGCAAATGAATGAAAACGGTCCATACATGTAGCTGTTATGCAACAGTATACTTTTGAAGCTTGGCTCAGAACAATACAGAGTAGAAATAAGTCTGGAAATGCCTAATTTTCTCGTAAATAAGCTAGAATTATACAAAATTTGAGACATGCCTATTTTAAGATACCAGGATTCCAGATGTAATATTTGCCAGATTTAGTGTTTCTCTTATTTTGAGATTTTTTAAATGCAACTCTATATAAGTTTAGCCCCTCCAGCTCCAAAGCGGCATATTTGCTCAACCTGTATAATTCAAACGGGGTTCAGAAGGATGCCAAATTATAAATGTACAAAAATGTCACCTTGCCTAATGTCACACTGACTAATGCAAATATGGTCCGAAAATTAATACCAAAAACAAATTATTTTTCACAAAAAAAATATACAGAAAATAAATTATAATGGTAAATAGAATATAAAAATAAATATCATAAAATAATAAATATTTGTAAACAATAAATATTTACAAGTACATTAGTGTCATGGTTTCTAATACAAAACTGTAGCATAAGGTGTTATCTGAAACAACACAATTTAGGTGCAGCAACTATATAATATTTATTAAAAACATCACAATTCTAAAATGTATAGAAGTTTTAATATATTTTAAATGGCCTTTTTCCGTAAGTGTTGAATATATTATTCCAAAATTGATAATCTTTCTGATTTGGGTTAGTTCTGACTGACAAGTTTTTGTCCAGATGTAAATATTTCATATTTGGCACCGGAGCTGTTTTTGGCCAAATAATTCCTTGTAACAAAGCATCTCTATTTGGGGTTGGATTTCCAAATTTAATAAAATTTCCCCATAGTTTTACTACTCGTTGACTACAAATTTTATCATCGTCAGATAAAATTCTCGGTTGCGTTCGTCGGGTGAATAAATAATTTAGTTCTTCAGCATGTCCGACGGCATTCCAATTAGTCCTCAGAGGATTACCCAGACGTCCAATACAATTGAACTCGTAAAAGTAAACGACAGTGTGTTTTGAAAGGAAGATTCCTTGTTGTATTAATGCTCGCGTCATGACCATATCACCAAACCACTAATTAATAAATAAAAATTAGTAATAAATTTTTCCTCGATAAAATATAAAATCAAAAATTGTACTTACATGTTGAAAATCAGCATCAGTATAATCTGTAGTACTACCCGGAAAATAATATTCTTTAATAAGTGTACCAACATAATTTATGGTGTTTGTATCGCTTGATGCATTCAAATTTAATCCTATCGGAACCAAATTATAGGGAGCTAATTTGCTTTCCTTTAAAAGCGATCGAAGAAGCATATCTGGAAGACCATCACCTTCATTTGAATTAAATCCCATTAAAATTGGAACCTTATTATATTCCCCATTTTCCAACATTTCATATGGCGATTTTGAGATAACAGCGTTTTGATGTTTTGGTTCAATGACTACCGTGTATGCTATTAAACGTTGACCTGTATCAGCTCCAGCTCTTGTAGAAGCCGCTTCTAGTTCTCTAAAATCAACATTTCGAAGCTTTGTAACTAATTCCTGACTATTGTTGGTATTGATTCCTAATAATGATCCGGTTGTAAATGCGTAAATTGGTTGCTCTTCTCCTATCGCCGGCGCCATAATAGAGGAGCCACTTTGAATAATCGCTTTTTGAAATAATCCTTTAGATAACGGTGATAATATTAAATGAGAAACAGCCATGCCTCCTGCACTTTCACCCGAAATTGTTACTTTATTTTTATCACCACCGAATTTTTCAATGTTTTCATTTACCCATTTTAACGCCATAATTTGATCTCGTATTCCATTGTTCCCTGGTGACACTAAATCACCCGTATGAAAAAATCCAAATATTCCTAATCGATAAGCAATTGTAACCACTACAATGCCTTGTTTTACGAAATTTTCTGGTGGATATAATTCATAACCATTATCTCCTTCATAAAATCCGCCGCCATGAATCCAAACCATTACTGGATAATTTATATTGTTATTTATATCCGGTAGCTGGTGAAAAGAAGGTGTTTAAGGTGAACACAATTAATATGAGATTATTAAATATATTACTGTTGAAGTATAAACGTTTAAGTACAAGCAATCTTCAGAACCTTCAATTTTATTTGTTCGAACAGTAGCGAATCTGGACTGAACACATTGTGATTTTTGTATAGTTGAATCTCTGATGCCACTCCATTGTTGTGAGGGTACAGGTGGCTAATAGAAAATAATTAAATTAAAAATAACGAATCAGAAAATACTTTGTGTGAGACTTTACCTCAAATCTCAACTTTCCTAAAGGTGATCTTGCGTAAGGTATACCTAAATACGAATACATTGTTAGATTACTTGAAAGTTTCGTCTCTAATCCTCGTACTTTTCCATTTTTTGTACGGATAATATATCCATGCTACAAAAATATTAGAAGCAAGAAATATTAGACAAGGCTGTTTGCGCCTTAATCTCAACTATCAATAATAAGTAACAAGAAATGATTACAATTTTTTAATTATTGTCTTTACTTACCGAAATTAAGTAAACGGAAAATATTACATAAATGTATATAAACGTTCTGAGGCACATGGTAGTTAACAAATACTTCAGAAAACTGTACGGTTCATTGTCACTACGTGCTTTTATATGGAATTTCCCACTTATTTTATGTGGTGTAGATAAAGTAAGAATTGTAACATGTTCTAAAAACTGCTGCATTGGGGTTCAATTACGATGATTTTATACGTTAATCTCGTGCAATTATGTTTTACATCATTTTTGATAAAAAAACATAAACAACACAATCTTTCCAATCTTTCTTCTTAAGCTTTATTTTATGATTGTAGAAATCTTGGACAATTTTATCAGAAAATTTTACACCTTTATTTTTATGAACGATAAAGGAATTATGAAGGATGATTATATTTATTTGCCGAGACTTGTTTTATGTAAAAATTTAAAAATCATAAATTTCCGAACAATGTTGTTGCGTTGAGTTAGAGGCAATAGTTGTTATATCATTTGCGATGGCCAAACATTGGATTGGACTCTGGGCTGCAGAGAGACTTCGCCAACTGTGGACAAATTCTCCTAGAAAGGGACACGCTAAGTTGTTTATTGATATCACCAATGTCAATCCCAGGAATATTTTAGGACTTGCTCGTAGTAGCATGAAAGTTCTAATTGGTGTCTTTACTGGGCACTGCCGATTAAACACGAGCTAACTGTGTAACTTGTTGAACCTAGCAGACGATATTGAATGGCAACTATGTGCAGAGGACGAGGAGACGGTTGAGCATGTTTTATGGTACTACCCTGTTGTTAATCATATCAGATTCTCGATTTTTGAGATGCAGTTTATCTCCCCAAAGGATCTGAATGACTTTTCACCGAGCAAGACATTAAGTTTCGTTAAGAGCATTCGACTGCACGGTGAAATTTAATAATGTTATCTATCAGGGTACAATAGATCTTTAAGGTCGTGGTGCAAGGTTGGTTGGTCCGTCTACCCGATATATAATTTATGTAATGTAATTATAAAAGTACAATTTATGCAAGACAATTTGCTTTAGGCAATAAATTTACATACATTATTTCGGATATTCTATATAAGTATATTAAACACAATTTTACAACGCTGTCCTATAAGATCTTATCTGAAACACTAACACAAATAAAGTGCAATAATTGTCAATATGAATTTTATATGTCTACCAGATTATACTTACAACTAAAAAAATGTGACCGTTAGAAATAATCCAGATGAGGGAGATTTTCAATTTTGGACTCAAATTTTTAATACTTACGGAAATAGATCATTTATAATCTATTGATTGTACATACTTACACCGATGTAGATTTTTTTGATAACTGTTAAGTTGATGAAAATTAAAAATTATAGAGCTTTTAAATAATAGTCATTTTTAAGGTATACCTACTACTTCTACCATATAACTTCAAGTCTTAGAGAATACTAAAAGATCCAAAAACGATTTGTTCATGATTTAGTGGTTAATTAAAGTTCAAATTAACTCTACAATACCAAGAACACCTGGTAAACCCTTCACCACTCAGAGTTACATAACATAATGTTGGATATGAATTGGTGTAAAGATATAAATCCGACTATATTTGTAAATTTGTGGTTCCTTCTGCAGTCACTTTTTTATGTTTATGAACATATTTATGAGAATATGAGTATATTTATATTGTTTCATGTGAAGAAATGTTGGGTATGAGTACTCTTATGCAAATAATTATAAAATTTATCATTCTGCCAGCCTCCCAATCAGCAACCAATTGGTATACCAAAAGTTAAGGCCCATCAATTTAGAGATCAATATTTTCAGTTCACATAGGTATGTTCAGTTTTAAAGAGGTGATAGCCTGATGTGTTCTTAATGAAGGGCATATTTTATTTTTATTGCAATTATGTCAAAGAAAATGTGAATTAAGTCAAAGAAATGTGTACGTTTAATCGTCTTTCACATCAATGTGAGAGCTTCTTTTGACGTGAGAGCGGCTCCTTAGATTCCTTCTGCACACTTACTCTAATCTTGATCAGATTTCAATCAAAAGTAGCTAGTCGAAAGATTCTTCTTTAAATTCTAGTCTGTATAAAAAAACACAGGTTGCATTAAATGGATTTCATACAAATAAAATCGCTTATATTGAAATTCTGTTTATTAATTAAACCTCATAACAAAAGAATGAAATATACATAATAAATTAGAATAAGTTAATCATCAATTAAAATTTTCTTAATATCAATAACCCGTGATTTAATCTCTGGTTGATTATCTTTACATAATTCTGAATATGATGTTTCAAACATTTCAACTAACTTTTCAAATTCCTCTTTATCGTTCTGTTTCAATTTTTTTCCCAATGAATAAATTACGTTCAAAGCTTCCTTACGTAATCTCGTGTTTTTGGCAATACCCAAACTGTAAGTTAATGCGACCAAAATATGGTTTATAATGCGAGATAAACTTGCTTTATCGGTTTCGTTAAGTTTTTCCTCGTTGAGTAATTGGAGTTTATCGACATAATTGCATAAAGCAACTACAATACAAACTTGTACAGATCTAGTGTTGACTGGTAAACAATCAACGCAATTTTCAATCAAAATTTCTCTGTATTTTTCTTGGGTTTGTTTGCTTTTTTCAGGCCAAGCTTTTCCTAAACACTCAAAAGCAACTTCTTTCAGTTTAATAACGATTTCACGTTTTTTCGACTGTTCCTCCTTTGATGTCTCTTCTTCATCACCTTCTTTTTCAATAGAGTCATTATTTAATACACCATGGACAATGTTGTAAACATCCTCAAATCGATCGATTTCTAAAGAAGATAAAATATCGCCTAAAGAACTCAAAGCATTTACTTTATACTCAATATCTTCTTTACGACATTCTTTTAAAACTGCTTCAACGATATTATTTAAATCTACCTCGGGATCAATTTTCAATGAATCTTTACAATTTTTACAAATTGATGCTAAAGCTTTCAATAATTTATCTTTCCCGTTCCATGTTCGTCCACTTAACCCAGCCAATAAAATTTCAATCAATGTATTACGATGTTTCCTCTCCATTGATAAACCTAACTTTGCAGCAACAGTTGAAATCGAATTAGCCGCTTGCGCCTTCATATTCCAAGATGGTGAATCTAACGCGGTTTTTAAGGTTTCACAAATAACCTCAATATTTTGTCTAATTCCCGATTCAGTGCCGGGACTATGTTCCGACCAAATCTCATTCCAAGTTTCAATCGTATTTTCAGTCTCCGGATTATTTTCCGCGTGCATCGCAAAAAAAACTAACGGTAAAATTACATCTGAATGTGCTTTTAAAATATCTTGATTGTGGACGCCAATTGATTTAATCGTATGAGCGCAGGCAGATCTTATTGTATCATCTAAAATATTCAAAATAAAAGGTGAAAAATGATGAGGTTTTATATTTTTTACCTTCCCGTTCGAAATACCAATGATTAATTTTTGCAAATAGTTTTTCTAAACTGGATTCTTTAGCTGTTTTTACTAAATGACCGATTGTTGTTGCGTAATGTTTACGAATTGCTGCGTTACGATCTGTTAATCCATTTACTAAAGTTGATAAAAATTTTCCTGGAAAGCATAACAATTTTTTATCAAAATTGCGATATTAAAATCATTAAGTTTTTGGTATCATATTGAAAGGGTATTTTTTCATGTTAGTGCATCTTAGATCTAATTGTTACACAAATATAAGTTTTAAAATATCAAAAAATATTTCTAACTGTTTTAAAAGAATGGAATATGTGGAATATATTTGAAGAATGTTCTAAATTATTCATTGACGTAATGTTAAATAACCAACAAAACTTATCTATAATATTTTAACCATTTTAGATTACGACGATATTTATTGCATTAGATAAAGTAGAAAAATTTTACCGTGAATTCTCTATTGTGGTTTTCATCATCCAATGATTAGATTTACAATTGACATAAAAAAAGCAGTTGGATATACGCGCCAAAATAAGAGCTGCTGCGCAATTGCCAAGTATTATATACTTGTATGATAACATTTTGAATGAATATGTTATATAGGACATTATTATTATTACAATTGTTATTAATCATATCCTGTATATAAAATTTATAACTTACCTGTATATGGTTGTAGATCATTTCCCAATTGAACAACAAGCAAGGTAATAAAATGTGCACAAGCTACTCTTGTTCCTAACACAACGGAACCTTTCATTAAATCAACAACTTTAGGAACAAGTTCCTCTAAAATTGTTGCATCCGCATATTGAAGACACTTTAAAATTTTAATTTTTTATTAAAAGAAAAAAAATTTAAAATTCAACCTACCTTAGAAACTGTTTCTGTTGTAAAATGAGATTTAGCAAAAGAAGCCCTCGCGCTATCAACAGCCTCTTGAGCATGACTTTGTCCACCTAACATTGTGCTCAAACGAGACAATTGCGACGATTCTAATTCGCCGGTTGCTTGAAGTAATGCAGGAATTAATTGAGGTAAAAACGGTTTAAGTTGTGGTCCAGCAGATCCAACTAACTCCGAAATAGTTTGTAAACTAAACAAGATGTGACAATCTTAAGATTTATTTAAAAAAATAAACTAACCTTATTAAACGAACTTCAGCAACCGTATTGGTTATTCCTTTATTTAAAAATACCGGTAAAATAGATTGAGTCATTTTCACCCCATCTTTTCCTTGGCTTTTATCACAACCTCGAATACATAACTGAAAAAACAGATATTTAAAGTAAAGAAAAATAAATTTGAATTTATATTGTGTTATTTTAAATTACCTTACTAAGTACTTTGGCTGTTTTATTTGCTGCCAATCGTGTAGCTTCATGATGATCATCCATAACCCTAAACAATTGCGTCCAAATTTCTTCCATAGAATCAACTGAATCATGTATAGAACGATTCCCTGCACCCTTAATGAAATCTTGCAAAGCCAAACAACACGATTGTCTTACGCGGTATTGAGGTGAATTTAAATTGGCTAATAAATCCGCGAGTATTTCGTGATGATAAGTATCCAACATTTTTTGAGGCTCAGGTACTAAGACGTGCCAAATATTCTGCATTGATCCTTGTAAATTTGGGGTGGGATCATATTGATAGCGATATAATTTCGGAACAATTTGTGGGAGATACGCTTGAAGACGTTCACCACATTTTTCAGCTATCGACGAAAACCCAAATGCAGCGCCTTTCTTTGAATTCCAAATCGCATTATGATTCGCAATGTGCATAAATTGGTATACTAAATCGGGTTTATTTAAATCCGAAGCTAACGAACACAATTCCTTGTATGTAGATAAATTCCCACTGGAAATACATTCAAAGTTTTATTTGATTTTATTTTTTTTTTTTAATATTTTTTTTACCCAGTTGGTGATTTTCCCAATTCACCTTCCTCAAATAATTTTGTACTTGCAGTAACGTTAGTAGTTGATCGTCTTCCGCTGGTTAATTGATCAACTAACGCACTTAATAATTCCTCAGATTTAGAATAATCATAAACTAGACATAAACCTTTTGAAGATACATCTTGTACAATATCTAAATAAAAATTAGAAAAATATAAGTTAATACAAATAGACTGGTGGATAGTCAATTTAAATAATTTAGTATAGGGGTTCCCAAAAGGTGGCAATTTTTACTTTAATAAAAATGAAGACTGTATGACATAGAATAGTGAAGTGTACAAAATATCCTTAGCCATGTGAGTAAGACTCGTGGGCAATTGGAAGATAATGCATAGACCAAGGGGTTAGAGAAAGAGGCAATGATCAATGAAGCGAGATTAAAAGCTAGGATAAAGATAGCGGTAACTATATCATAAACCAACCATTATTTTCTCCCAATAAATTCATAAATATGCTTTGTATTGAACTTAATTGATTCTTAATAGGTTCTCTATCAGGACAACTTTTTAACAAAGCCAACAACCAAATGCAAGAAGCCTGCCTTGCATTAGGATGAGTACTTCTTGCATTGTTAAGAAGAGAAGTAAGTAAGTCTTCAAGATTTTCATCAGACGGTTGATCCCTCATTGTATCCTGAGGGGTATAATCATCAGGTAAAATTGTCCAAGAATCTCTAGCTTCTGAAGACCATAAACCTTGAACGCACATTACTAAAGATTCACCAATCGTGAAATGAACTTCAACATCTTTTGTCTAAAAAACAACAAAGAATTAAAAATTAATAAAACCAATTTTCTTAATTATAAAAACCTCTTTTGCTGTATCTAAAAATCCTTGTATAACTTCTTTAACAAACGGGAAATCTTCACCAACGCAAAGTAATCCCAGCGCCAAAGCGGCACGTTCACGAGCTTTTGAACTATTTTTGTTATTGTTCATTACAACTAACAACTGTGAAACGACATCACACTTTGTAATTCGTTCAGCTGTGGCGAGTTTTTTCGCTTCAGGACTTCCGGTAGGTTTAATTCCTCCATTTTCAAGCGGTAACGCCGTACTTTTCGCAATCAAACCGATTGCAGTACAAGCTCCCCCCATTAACATTCCATTTTGATGAGACAAAAATGTTACCAAAGTGTTTACGCAAGTTTTAAAAACTTCCCATTGTTGAACATTTCTTTTCTCTTTTTGAGTCATTATTCTTCTTTCCAAGCAATTTCCTATCGCCAATAAAGCACCATGTTGAGATTCTAAATTTTTTGAATTTGTTTGTTTTATTAAATATTCCAATGCTTTATTAAAATCGTCATCGTTTAATGCAGGGTTAATTGTTACTGCATATAATAAAGCAACTTGTTCTCTAACTTCCTCTTTAACTGAATTTAATAAATCTCGCAACCAATTTATATCATTTGATAAAGATTTATATAAATTTGGTACACAACCAATAATTTCCGACATACAACAAATTGATTCAACACCTAAAAAAATTAATAATAAAGATAAAAACTAAATACTAATAAAAAGTATATATACTTGGATTTGCCATCATTAACTGTTTAACCAACGAAACATATTGCAACAAAGCACTATTTTCAATTTCATCCGTTTCTTTAAACATACTTTGTAAATGCTTTTTGATAATTGGAGTTGTTTCGCATGGATGTTTTATTATATTTCGAGTTAACGGTACCTCTAAGTCTTGTATCAAACACAAACGAAGATACATAATCATTTCGGTGAAAACCGGAGTTGCAAATGGTAAGAAGCGGTTTCCAACTGAATATTGTTTGGACGGATCTTTCATTCGATCCTCAGATTCTTTATAAACATGAAGAACCAATTCGGAAAATGATGGCATCACCACCTTTATTTTACTACCCTTTGAAATATCAATATCAGTTTTACGTGATGTGCCATAAAGAGATTTCATTGCTTCTGTAGAAACTTCGTCTTTTCTGCAAATAATATAAACTTACTATGTAATTAACACGTTCGCTACCGGCGTGTCCAGTCTATTGGACGGAGAGGTTTTTCGTGGTGAAACGCGTCTAATTTATTGGAAGCTGACTTATTACTTAACGATTCGAGTCAAATGGTTCTACCCCTCCTGCTACACCAGCTTTGCAGTTTGAGTCGGATTGGACTGACCTGGAAACTGTTCCCTTAGATATTCCGTTCTGAACGGAATATTCAGGATTTAAAAAAAAGCTTATTTTTATCTTTATTCTAAAACAATAAGAAATAGACCTATCGAACCCTATGTTTTTGTAATCAGAAAAGAATAACGAACTTAATAAGAGAATAATCAGTGGTTGTTTTCATTTAAAAAAAACGAAAATTGTCATATCTCCAAATCTAAAATCGAAAATTTTTTTTTGACTACGTCATTAAATTCTCTGTAAAAAAGTGTCCATACAACGTCGTAGTTATAATACTCCACCTATAATAATAACCAAGATAATTGCATTTGCTGGTTTCACGATATTTTCAATTTTGGGCTCTAGGGGAAAAATAAAAGACGATAGCGCTTTGAGGTTTCCGACCTTGGAATGTTTTAAAAAAAGAGATCGAGACATGTAAGCTACTTTTTTTCTAACTCTTATAATTTCCGAGATAACCTAGACATCGAATTTGAACCACCCTGTACATGTGCGGGATAGACAGATCAGGCCAGATAATAGGATAGTACTCATCGCCAAGGAAAACCATAAGATGGTACAGAAAAGTGTTCTTTTATGTTATAGATATTGCAGTGTGGAATGCCTATTACATATTATATAAGAAGGAAAGAGTTACAACCAAAATTTCAGAAGTTATAAATTCCATTATCTGGAGACAGTTCTCTCCACACAGAAAGACAAAACCGTGACGAAGAGGTGACGCCAGTGTAGCAGAGGTGAAGTTTACAAGAAATCCAGATATAACTGCCGGATATGTCCAGAAAACCCTGGTTGATGCGTAGATCCATGCTTCAGAATCTCGCACAGTGTACAATAATTATGTTTTGTAATATTTTGGAGTAGCTGTAGTATTCATTTTGGTTTGTATAGTTCATTACGTTGTATTTAGAAAAAGAAAATAGAGACGTTGAAGAAATTCAGGTGTGTCCAATTGACTTTGTACAGAACTTAGAAATTTAAAGAATGTCCAGTAAACTGGAGTAGGTCTTAAAAACTACTGCAGAAGGCGCAGTAGCGAACGTGTTAACCATATTACAAAAAAATAAAAAAAAATAAAATTTACTTACGAATCACCCATTGCAAGTAGAAGAAGAGCTTTTGATGGTACATGTTCTGGTGGAAAAATAGTAGCTAATGTTCTAACAGTTGCAAATCGAACCATTGCTTCTTCAGATTCCATAAAATATTTTAATAATACAAAAAGAATATTCATCCGTCCATTTTTATCGCATTCTTCTGGATTAACATCATATTTATATGCAGAAATTAAATTTAAAAGACCTTCACGGATTTGAAGTTTCAAATCTTGATCTGCAGATTCTAATTTTTTAAAGAACATCTCCAAAAGACTAACATCATGATAAACGACCATAGGAAATCGCCTTCCAATCATTCCATTTATTGTAAACGCTTGCCCTTGATGACTTTGTTCACCTTCATTGATTAATTTGTTCAAGCCCGTTTGAAGAACGGGGGCAACTTTTTTTAATTGGTCACCATCAGCACTAAAAATTTAATTAACAATAAAAATCATCAATCCTCATAAAATTGAAAACAATTAACTTACTATCGGACTAAATTCGCCGTAAAATTTAAAGCTAAAGTTTTTAATTTCGAATTTGTTTCAATACCAAACAAAGAATCGAATATAACTTGAATCGAAATTGGTACAACAAATCCTCCGTTTGTCACACGACAAAGATAAGTTAGAATTTTTAATCGAATTCTAGTACTAGCAGGAGCTTTTTTCAAATTAGACTTAACATTATGCGATTGCGTACCTAAAAATAACATGAACAAGGGCATTGTTGTTGATGAAGAATTCCAATCTACAACGCTAAACGAAATTTAAATATAAAATATAAGTTAAGTATATAAATCACAAAATGTACCCAATTATCTTTTTTAATTCATTATCAGCAAGATTAGGAATACTAAATCTTGTATCTGCAGCTGCAACAATCATGTGAATCAAAATATCTTCATTAGGGAAAATATCATTTGCTAAAAATTTAATAATCCCCAACTTAATTTGTTCTAATTCGTCCGGTTTTAATGGATTTTCATTAAGAACTCTTTTATATGTGTATTCACTCATTCCAGCTGGTACAGATGATTCATTTTCAGGATTTTGATGTTCCGTTGAAGATAATGAAAGGGATCTGTTATTAAATCACAATTTTTAATTATTTTAAATTCAAATGTAATAATAACAAAATTGATTACCCATAAGGAAGCAAAATAACATCTAAAAGAAGTCCTAATAAATGCTTACAAATTTGTGGCTTCTCATTAAGACCAAAAATTGACGATCTTTTACTAGGATCACTTGGTATTTTTATTTTCCCTAATAATATAAATCAATCACTAATTTAAATTAGAAATAAATGTAATAAATTACCAAGTAATGGAACAATAAGTAGCAATAAACTATCTTGGTGTGCTTGAGGTTTACCATCAAGAGAATTTAATATATTAGGCACCAAATCAGTTTGTTCCTCCACAGTTAATCTAGGAAAACCCATTTTTATATAAATAATGGTAAAATTCTACAAGAATAATGTTTAAGAAACAGTTTAGAAATTCTAAAAACATACTATTAAGAAACTGCTTGCTTCTGGGTTTTGATATTGAGACAATAAAGTACTGACTGGTAAACGAACTTGAGGGCGTGTTTTGATTCGTTTATTAATGTGAATCAGCAATTCCATCACCTAAATTTAAATGAAATTAATCACCTACATTAACTTTACACTTATTTTTGTTACCTTTTTTCGTACAGCGTCTTCAGGAGACGCCAATTTAAGCAATACAGGAGGCAAAAACTTTGATACCACATTTTGTAATTGTTCATCAGTTTCAGCAGAACCCACTCGAAGAAATACACGCTCCAAGAGCACTACAATTCAAATTTAAAGAGTAAGATGACAAACAAAATTTCTATTTTTATCTGTATTGAAGGCATATTAATCAATAACCCCAAGGTTTGTTAATTAATAAATTAAAGAAGATATATTTTAAATAAATTCGAATACATTACAAGTTTCGACACTTTAATTTTAATTAATATTACATACCTAATTCATCTTGAGCACTCGTCATCCCTAAATTATTTTGACAATTAATTTGACAGATCAATCATCTGATGTTTGCTACAATTGTATTTATGTGTGTATCAAAAAAGCCTAATAAATAAAATAAAAACTAATGAATTGTTTACGAATGAAATTAATTATATTCTAATAATTATAAAATATCATTAAGAATATTTCAATTTAAACGTTATAAAAAGAAAAAAAAGTTTCTTTTGTGTGAAGTTAGTTGTGTCATACGTCAAAAACTCTCAACAACAACAACACCATTTTTAACAAAACTAATTTCTATTACAAACACCAATTTTAATAAAATTATTTAAAATGTCGATGAAACCGGACGATCACAGAAGAAAATGGGACCGGGAAGAATACGAAAAGCTTGCCGAAGAAAGACGAAAAGAAGAACGCGAACGTGAAGAAGATGCTGAACAGAAGAAAAAAGGTCCCCCGATAAAACGTGAACTTTTAAAACAACGAGATTACAAAATCGATTTGGATTCTAAACTGGGAAAAAGCATAGTTATTAACAAAAATACACCCACGTCGCAATCGGGCGGATATTATTGTAATGTGTGCGATTGCGTTGTTAAAGATTCTATTAATTTTCTCGATCATATTAACGGAAAGAAACACCAACGTAACTTAGGAATGTCTATGAGAATTGAACGAAGCAATTTGGATACTGTTAAACAACGTTTTGCTTTAAATAAGAAAAAAATGGAAGAAAAAAAGAAGGAGTATGATATGGCCTCCAGAATGCAAGAAATCGCTGAAGAAGAAGAAAAACTTAAAGAGTATAGAAGAGAGAAGAGAAAAGAAAATAAACGTAAAGCGGAAGAGATGAATAATGATAGTGAACAATTTAGTGAAATAAATAGTATTATGGGATTTTCTGGGTTTGGTTCTTCAAAAAAGAAATAATAATAAATAAGATTAATTTTTTATTGTATATATACATTGTAATATTAATTAGAATTTAATTTAGAACATTGATTCTAAAATTAATGAGGTAATAATAAAATAATTGTTATTATTTTGTGTTTCAATTAACACTAAGGGATTTAATTTTTAATGTTGGTATCAGCTTAATTTAAAATTTTAAGATTGTTATAAAACAATTAAAATAATAAGTATAAATAATAAAAAGAATAATTTTTAAAAGAATTATTAATCCAAATTAAGTTTTTAAATGATAAAATTAAATTTAGTAACCATAAGTTATGTTGACAGCATAAAACTTAAAATTTTTTAATTTATTAAATTTAAATTATAATAATTAATATTTCAATTTAAGCGAATAAATAAATTAAAGGAAGTGAAATGGATTAATAAAAAATTAAAATTTTAAAATTTTTTTATTAAAACGATTTTTAAGTGATATCTTTTACTTTATGGTTGGCAACAACAACACTAGACAGATTTCTAGCCGTTTTCTCGTTTTGTCATTTCGACGGAGGTTAGTGTTCTAAAAAAAAGCGGTTCTTTCGGCCCTTATTTTTTGTTAATTTCTTTAGAAAACCGTATCTAATGGCTTTAAATCCGCAATACGAAGCGATAGGGAAGGGTTTTGTCCAACAATACTATGCGGTCTTCGACGATCCCACCCAGCGAGGTAACCTAGTTAATTTGTATGGCGTAAGTGTGTAATCATATTAAAAAAAAGCGCGACCCGCTATCCTAAAATACGACCGATGCTATTTCGTACACAGGCCGAGAACTCATTTATGACCTTTGAGGGCACCCAACTCCAGGGCGCTGCTAAAATCATGGAGAAATTAAATGTAAGATTGACAGTTTGTCTTTTTTTGGGGTTAGGTTTTTGTTGTATGTAATGAAATTTATTTTTTTTTAAATGTTTTTAGAGCTTACAATTTCAAAAAATAAATAGAATAATAACGGGAGTTGATTCTCAACCAATGTTCGATGGTGGCATCTTAATAAACGTACTAGGAAGACTGCAGGTATTTTTTTTTTTATTGTTACGATTATTACTTAATAATAAACTTATATGCGTAATTGCCACCTCAATTTTAAACAGAAATTGATATAAACCTTAAAGAAATGTCATAGATTTATATAAAATTTTTTGTTTAGAATTTGAGTGGTTTTTATTTGAATACTTTAGTTATACAATATTTGCCCAGACTGATGAAGATATGCCTCACGCATACGTCCAAACGTTTGTGCTCAAACCCATTGAGGGCAGCTTTTTTTTACAACACGACATTTTCCGTCTCGTTCTCCATGATACGATTTAGTCGGTCAGTACGTATTTTGTCTTGCGTACAGATATGCTTTTTTTAAATTGAACATAAAAACAGAACAATGAATAATACGATTTTGCACACAAAAAAGTGCACATCCCCTATTTGTTTATGTTTCTTACTAATTTATGCTGTGCCTTTTTTCCTATTTAATATTTTAATTTCTATGTGACTAAGGTAGCTTCCAAGTTTTAGCTTTATTTTTTTCTTAATTTTTATGATTTTATGTGGAATTAAAACTAATTTAGAATTGTTTTCAGACTGATGAAGATCCACCACATCCATTCTGTCAGATATTTGTATTGAAGCCGTTAGGAACATCCTTCTATGTACAACATGACATCTTCAGATTGGGAATCCATGACTCAGTTTAATCGATACATATTTTCTTAACACATACAGTTTATATACAGTTACAAAAAAAAACTATAAAGATTTTTTAATTTCGGCTTAAAGCAACATACATTTTCTTTTCTTTAATTTTTACGATGCTTTCATGTTCGTCAATAATTAAAATTTTTTGAATATGTCTTGTTTTATTTATTCCTTCTATCAAATTAACACATTCACTGTCGTCTTGGTCAATATGACCAACAAAATAGTTTTGGGCTAACCTGATTTGGTTTATATGACTAACAACATTCTTTTAATCACCATGAAGGCTTGGTCAATATAACTGAATCAGTTTTTCGCATCATACACGCCAGATATTTAGCATCTAGGTTAGAGAAGGTTGAGATTGCATTATTCATAAGCAAAAGTTTTGCGAAATTCCAGGATGGGTTTTTCTCTATGTTTTATTTCTTTATACATCAACCACTATTTCTAGTCTGTAAGTAGACGTTTTGTGTTCCAATATTCACTTCGTGGCACGATTTTGTACTCAAAATCAACTCGTCTTCAGTATTCAACTAGCATATTGGGTTGCCTACCACTCACAATGAATATAATCAAAGAATATTTTATACATTTATAGTTTATTATTACATTTAAAAATGGCACATCAATAGTAAACAATACAATTACAAATAGTTGGAGAGGTTATTAAAAAAAAAATAATAAGTTAAAACGATTAACTAATAATTAAAGGGAAACAAAACAACTCTCATCTAAACAGGAAGCATTTAACATGACAATCTTTTTGATCGCGAACTTCTTTGCGATATACCAAGTCCTCTCAAAGATCTCATCGCCATAGCTTTATTAAAATGGCGATGAGGTTTAGTTTCTGGACATTCTGTTTCAGTTGTATCCATAGATGTTATTACAACTAATAAAACTGCCAAAATCTAAAAATTACTTATGTTAAAAAAGGATTATTTTAATTAATTGTTAATATTTACCAAACATATAATAATAACTAAAGTGTAAGTATGTAAAGGATCGGGTGGAGTTTCCTCCATTTCCTTTAAAGCTAATTGAGCTGGTTCAAAACCTGGTTTGAGCTCTAGAGTATGCCTTAAATGTACTATTGCATCTTGATGTTGTCCATAAGCTTTAAAAATTTCTCCCAATGTGAAATATTGTAACCAAGCCCCTTTATCTGGAGGTTGAACTTCGAGGGATCTTCTTGTTAAGTAAATTGCATCATCTAAATATTGGAGTGTGTATAAAACCCTGGCAAGGTTTAGTAAAACCTCTGCATTGTGTGGGGACACAGCTAAAGCTCTCCTAAAACATTCTATTGCTTTTCTTGAATTACCTTTTATTCTCCAAAAGTTTCCAATTTGATTATAAAGATGGATGGATTTAGGTTTCTACAAAAAATTATGTTTTTAATAATATTTTAAAATAATTTCAAATTTTTACTTCTTTCTTGGCTTTTTTTAAACGCCTTTCTAAAGCATTTATATCGAACTCCAATCCTTTACCAGTTTTCTTTGACTTAGTTAAAATTAAATCTAATCGTGGTTCAGGGACATTGGGATGTTTATTGCGATTTAAAATTCCTACCAAATTGTCGTAATAAGTAAAATTTACCGGTTTTCCACAGTCTAAAACTTCATCTATATTCTCTTGTTCAGTTTTAATATCAATATTTCTCGTCCAATTCCTAAAAATTTTAATTTTTTGTTTTAATGATAAATCTATTACATAATTTTGTGAGACTCACTTTGAGCTTTGATTTTGTTGTGTACACCTTGTGCAATAATATTCCACACCTTGTTTTATCCAAGAATGTTCAATATACACAGTTGAAGTAATAATTCCAAAGATAGGGTCATCCTCCCCAAATTCTTGCAATGCTTTGTCATCGTAAGATATTGAAAGTATTTGTTGAAACGGATTAACCTCCACAATTTTATCCTCATCATAATTTAATTTCCACATGGATGAAGTTCGAGAATTTATTGATAATACTTCCAGACAGAGTATGTATAAAGTAAAAATTTGGAAATTATGGACTTGACCCATCATTTTATTTGGAATTATTATAGCTTATTTATATCGTTATAATGATTTTTGTTTCTTATTGGATACGATTTTGAGTTTGGATCGGTGCGTTTCATTCAAAATTCTTTATATTTATTTTTTGATAAATCACACATTTGGATGAGTTTCGTATAAACAAAATAGGTTATTTGAACTGTCAAATAAGTTAAATAAGGAACAGATGTTTTTTGTTTATACTTTTATATACATTTTAGAGATCTTTATAACATGGGGATATAGCTCAGTGGTAGAGCATTCGACTGCAGATCGAGAGGTCCCCGGTTCAAGCCCGGGTGTCCCCTACTTTTTTTTTTTATACTTTAAATCAAATTTGTACGTATATCGCATTGTCGTATTCTATATGTTTTGAAGTAGTGATTGATTTTGACAGTTCAGTTTTCTGGTCGCTTGTTCACTCCTTGTGAACAAGTGAAGTGAGTGATTCTTCTGCACCTATTTATTCTTGCTTCTATGCTTCTGCTCTGAATAAGCATCATTGATGACCAGCTGCAAAATGAAAGATAAACAACAAATAGCGCCATACACGTTGCACAACCCATATTTGCTGTATTATCCCTAGGCCCCATACACCTGCAAACAAATTGTACAAACTGACGTTGCGCAACAGGTTATTGTGCAAACAAGGTGGTTACCCATACACTATACACAACTTTATACAAACTTCAGTTGCTTGTGTTGTGTACGCACGGAAACATGACGTCTGACGAAACAGCCTGTTTAGCTATAATGTGTTAGAAAAAGAAAAAAGAAGCAAATGAAAACATGGTTACGAAAAGATCACTTTTTAGCCAAATCTTCTCAAAGAACTTAAATTGTGTTCACCATTAGACTATAAAAATTATTTACGGATTCCACTACTTTTGGTAAATTATTGGTCATGGTAGCACCACTTATACAAAAACAAGACACAATATTGAGAGAAGCAGTATCGCCCAAGCAAAGGTTATCTGCTACTTTAAGGTATCTTACATCTGGACTTACCTATGAGGGTTTAAAGTTCGAAACAGCCATAGCTGCTCAAACACTTGGAAAGATGAACATTTGAATTTCTGCAACCACAATTTTCGCAAAACAGCGGTTGTTGCGGAATTTGATTGCAGGTGTATGCGGCCTATGGCGAATAGAAAAATTTGTTGTTTATGTTCCATTCACCAACAATTCGAGTAAGCTTTTTTGGAACTTAAACGCCGGTGTGGTTCTCTTCCAGTACAGTAGCTTCCAATATAACTTTCAATTTTTGTGATCCCATTATGAAATGATTTGTCAAACTCAGTAGTGAGCACAACTTTGATTGATTTATCCATACATCGGTCGTGCAACTTAACCAGTCGCATTGTTTGATTAAGTCCATTACTTTTGCCTTCACTTGGTCATATGTTTGGGGCATTAGTGACGCATGGAAATATTTTTCAGCTTTAAAACTTTATCACAAACACTTTTTTTGACGACATTATACGTGAAATGAGCCGATACAATGCATCATCATGCTTGGCTCTACAGCTGAGTGTAATCCTTGGCCTGCCTTAACTTGTTTCCAAACATATTCATCCCGCGTCTACCGTCTCTAACTTTCTTAGGTCATTCTCCACATTATCGATAAATGGTATCTTTGACCTCACAAACCAATCTTCTACTCTCAGATCTACGGTGATCAAAGATAATTCTTTTGGTACCTTTTATATCCATTCTGGGTTCATGGCCAATCCATCGCAACCTCGGTACTTTGATAAATTTAATCATCGCTGGTTCGCAATATAAGATAAAACTCAAAGTTGTAACGACTACAGAGACCGCTGTCATTAATATCCATCTTGGTCTTTCTGAATTAAGGTCTATATATTTCTATGATTCTTCTCCACCTTTGTATCGCTGTTTCTATACCTTCTGCGCTGAATGAAATTACTTGTCAAACTCAGTAGTGTGCACGACTTTGATGGATTTATCCATACATCGGTCGTGTAACTTAACCTAAGTCTCAAAGCAGTACTTTCCACTATACAGCATGTCGACAATTATAAAGTCCATTGGCCTTATCAATTCTCTGAGTCCATTGCGGTTCTTTCGCCATTCTATTTGTTATATCTGTCAACCTACATTGTATGAGATTCGATTGTTATTATTAATGTTTGTCACATCTTTCTTTTTTAACTTAGCTTCATTTATCTTCTCATCCATCTGTGATTGTTTCAAAACTTGTGTAATCTTTGAATTGTAAAATTTGGACAATAGTAGCTTCAATCCAAGGTTTATAGAACATAAGGTTACCTCATTCCCTATGCCTCTGTAGTATCGATTATTACCCCGCAAATTGACGTCACTGGTTCGATACAGTCAGAATAAAAGATACCCTATACGTGCCTATACTGTGGTACAGTCTATATAAAATATTTAATCCTCGCATCGTGTTGTGTTGTTCATAGAACCAGCTACGTCACTGACCCATCTTGCCTCTCAGAGGAGGAGAATCGGTATTGGGTAACCTTATGTTCTATAGACCTTGGCTTCAATCCATGTATAGTTTTTTTTTGGTTAGTTGCTGCCCAAAGAATAAAGTTTTTTGCAAAGTTTACATATGGCTTTTGACAAGGCAGCAGTGTTTTTGTCTTAGAAATCAAAACTTGTTTTTCGTCTTTCTTGTTTCATCTTGCTTAAAACATGATGAAAATTCCGTACGCGCAAGCTAAAGCAGTTACGAGAATAGACAAAAACTAGCTAAGACTAATAGACGAATAAAGAACAAAGTTTCTGTTCTAACTGAAGATTCACATTTTGGCCGAAATTGGCCGAAACCGAATCTTCGGTCTGACACTAATTTATTAACAATTAAATTGAATACTACTGGTTCATTATTAAAAGATTAATAAATGTCTGGACTTTCTTTTCAAACAAAGTTATCAATTTTATTATTTTATAATCTTATAATAAAAATCCCCTTTGTTTGTGAAAAGAGATTTATCAGAATTGATTGTCTTATCTATATTTGAAATAAAATCATAAAATGAAGGAAATAAAATACGATTTTGTATCATCATAATAAAACAATTTATCCAATGCAATTTAATAATTTGTTATAAAATCCACTTTGCTTTGCATAATACTATAAAACAAGTAATTTTTGTATAAAATTGTGAAATCGATGACTAATGAAGTTATTTTTACTCCTATTAATAATTATTTTTACTTGCGCATAATTTTCGCACTCAATACAGTTCCATCTATCAATTATTCATCGAATTAATAAGTAGAAATATGAACGGTGGGGGGTTCACATGATTATATCAGCCAATAGGAAGTCACCACATACATGAAAAACTTATTGACGTAAATATACCATCTCCACCAACGTAGCAAGAACGTAATCTAGTTTAACAAAAACTTTTAGATTGTTGCATCAGACAAGCCGGAACCCAGTAATGTTGTGACCCATTTAATATCAATTCATAACAGTTTAAGACGCGGACACGTGCGGAGCTCCCGTTAACTTTTTGCTAATATTTTATTGATATACATAAATATACGGTTCATCTAAGAAAATATGAGTGTAACTGTGCCGTCGATTTTAAAATACCTAAATAACAGCAACAGTTTTAATATCATGGGTGACAATGAAAATGAAGGCTCGTCCAGAGCCAAGAAACGAAGGCTTGATCACTTAACATGGGAAGAAAAAATACAAAGAAAGTATGTAGTGTATTAATTATATATTTTTTTATACAATAGTATGTTTTAACAAGGCTGATAAGAGGGAAATTTTCTTATCTTTACAGAGATAAGAGTTTAAAAGCATTTTGACGTTTCTGACGTAATTATGTAACTATTTACGATGACTGTGCAAAAGTAAATGTTCATTTTTTTGGTTGTATATGCATGTGTATATTGTGTATGGGATGTTGCCTAACATTAGTAAAATGACATGCATTTTAAATCTTTGACAAATCTGTTATATGACTTATATGAGTTAATGCACAATACAATTTTATTGTGTTGCAAACATTTTTAAGAACACATGCTAACGATAAAATATAGGTGTTTGTATACAATTGTATTGAGAATATTGATGCAAGATCAATTTATTACAAGGAGATCCCTTAAAAATCTTTGAGCACTTTATCAGAAAATTTTTTTTGACATATACATGAAATGAGCCAATACAAGGCTTATCTACATCATCATGCTTTGCTTTACAGCTCATTATGATCCTTGGCCTATCTGCGAGTTATTAGGTTTAGTACACATAGCTGACATATCCCAATTCATATAGCATTGTGCAACGTCAATCAACGCCAAAGCAACGGAATCATTGACCATATCCAAAATGTTCTACCCTGGAGGTCATTAATCTTAGTAAACATAACTGCCCTTTCCGAATCTGAAACTGTGCAACATCCATGACCTTCCCAACAATTCTTTCACCTCGATACTCATTCATCTTGATAAAGAAAACATGTTTAGGCAAACTTAGACAAACATGTTTTACCTGGAAATCATTAACTGAACTACACATAATTGATCTTTCCCAATTTACCTTACCTTCAGGACGTTGCATTATGCATCATCCATGATCTGGCACAACACACTTTACAGGTCTTTGGTGACCTTGGCAAACATGACTAAGCCTGGTTAATAAAGTAATTATAAAGACATAGTATCTATAGTAAGTAACAGCGTGGTGAGGTAAAAGTGTGCGTAACAGCTAGATCATGGATCTAGCTAAATCAACCTCTCGTGTGCCTTCTGTCTCTCATGCAGATCTAATATTCTCTTCTGATCCACAATTATTGCAATGTTTTTAAAAATGTTAAAATGATATGTTTTAATATTTAAATTACAATGTAAATTTTTTGTTTCCAGAAAATTAAAAAATCGCGTAGCTGCACAGACATCTCGAGATCGCAAGAAAGCAAAAATGGAACAGATGGAACAGGCATTGAAAGAACTCTACGATAAAAATCACGATCTGATGGCCGAATGCGAACGTTTACGGGCGACCAACGAGAAAGTTTTGGCAGAGAACAGAAATCTCCACAATCAGCTGCAACGCGTTCCATGTCCGAACTGTGGCACGCAAAGTCGGCCTGTTGAGTGCGATGACCAGAGCGGTTCGACAGAAACCCCGAACCCTCAACCGCAGGGCCTGGTCAGGCACTCAGCAGCGACTTTGAGTCGCCGACAGTCATCGGTAATGGCCGTTCAGAAGATTGCGGCGGCTTACCTTCTTTACCAGATCTTCTCGATGAGCTCAACCGCGACGTCGACCTCACCTCGTTGGAAGAAATCACCCAAAGCCTTCTCGAAGATATCGCCGCAGACTTGGAAGCTACTACTCAAAAGACAAATAGCCAAGTAAGAAATGTTTAGTAGAAAGAAGTCGTTGGTATTGGAAATGTTTTTGTGTTGTGGTTTTTTTAGTATTTTTAACAATGTAAATAGGCACTAATTAACATTGGGATTGGCTTCATGATTGGTATTATGTATTTTTATTATTCTAGCTATCTTAATGAGTGTTATGGTATCATCTTTAAGATATTATTGCTGTACAGAAGGTGATTTTTGAGCACTAATTTTTAATGTACATACACGTCTTTAAAAAAAATTATAATTTTACACTTTTTGTAAATATCACATATTTTGCACAAGGAGTCTTAACTGGTATGCAACTGGTGATCAAATTGATGTAGCTGAATATGTATTCTATAACAATTTGTTTTAAAATCGCATCCAAACTGAAGGCGAAAATTGAGCACCTAAGTAGCTTTTAATCAATTACTTGTATTTTTTGTATCTGTCACCTTAAAGTATGGGAGTTAAGCACATACAAAGTTACTATTTAAGATGTCATAATTTGGTATTGCAGTTCTTGCTTGCAATATCGCCACATTCCAGCAAATATCATTAATCCCGCTTCTGATCTATGTGGTTCTTATTGCTTTCTACTTGCTTTCAAATTGGTGTTGTTTATATCTAATATGTTCCATTTGTATTACATATATTATTGTTTTACTTTTTCTAGGAATCGAGTCATATTGCGACGGAAGAACTATTGGTGGGGCAAACACCAAAAGTCATGGAATCCGATCGAAGTGAAAGGTTAACGAATACTAAATCGGAATTGGAGTCTGAGATCTCTCAGTATCTCCTCCTGCATCATGACTATTTTGCGAAACCTCCAGAATCGAAACTTACAAGAAAAAAATTGACAACAAAAAAATCACATTCACCATACAAAAAATCATCGCCAAAAGAAAAATCTAAACCAAAACTACAGGATATTCTTCCGAAATCTAATTACGCCAATATCCCAGAAATTATTACTAACACTGAAGATACGTTGTATGGCAACTTAGAAGATGGCACACAGTGTATTGTCATTGTTAGTGATGACGAATTGAGATTAGATGAGGCGGTAACGGAAGTTGTTACATCTGAAAATGTTTCGTTTTGTTCAGATGCTAGTTATTTGGAGGCTCCTAATATTACAAGAGAGGCTTTGTCACCAACTCCTAGTTCTGGATATGAATCAATAGGATCTCCAAATATTGAGGATGATTTGTGGGATGAGTGCGTCTCAGAATTATTTCCATCGCTACTTTAATTTTTGGTTTAATTAAAGCATTTTTCTCAATGATACATTTATGTAAATATAATGGTGAAAGTTTTAGATCTTTGTATTGTAAATATATTTTTTAAGTGTTATTTCTTTATTGTAAGTTATCGATTTTAAATAAGCTTTTCAATATAGTTGTGAAACATATAAGTTTTATGTTTTTTTTTATTTCAAACATAAGTATTTAGGATTATTAAGAATTTTAGTTCCTAAATTGATAAAAAGCAGGGTAATATTAAAAATGACTAATGTCGCCATCTATCGGTATTATATTTGATAAATATGCGTTACAGTGTTCTTTTTTACTACTTGTGAATCCTGGATTAAGTTGGTACAAGTAACACCAGATTGAAGTAGTTACATTAACTTTCCAATACACGAGCTAACACTAGCTCAAGAAAGCTAGCTTTAATATTTGTATATATTATGAATATTTCTAGTTCTAGGTCTAGTGTTAGTTCTAGTTTTAGTTCAATAAGAATATATAGTAATATAACGATGAGTAATTATTAAAATTGGAGCTAACACTAGAAGCAGCACTAACACCAGACCTACAACTAGAAACATTCGGGTTTAGCCGTGCGTCTCTTAAGACGGCTAAACCCGAATCTTTCTAGTTCTAGTTCTAAATCTAGTGTTAGTTCTAATATTAGTGCAAGTGTAAATTCTAGCTATTAGAACTAACACTACCATTACAACTAACACTACACCTAGAACTAGTAACACAAGACGGCTAAACCCGAATGTTTCTAGATCTAGTGTTAGTTCTGATATTAGTGCAAGTGTAAATTCTAGCTATTAGAATTATAAAAAAAAATTATTAAAAAACTTTTTATATTTTTATCCAAGATCGTACATAATCTCTAATTCTTTCTCTAACCATACGAACGGATTTTGGATCGTTAGGATGTTGAGCTCTGAAATCAAGATGATGTGCTGTATCTGTCATTATAAGAGCATGCGAGTATTGCGACGAATATAATACTCCTCCACCGTGCCACGGATCTAACATACCATTGGTGAAAACAACATTGTTGTATTCGGCATCTTTGCCTCCGTATTCTAATATAGGGAGATCTTGGCGATATGTTTTAAATCCGTAATGTTTGTAACAATATTCCGAGAAGTTGGTGAAATTCCAAGATGATTTCTCAAACATTTCGTTATCTTTAATGCACATTGGCATTACAAGCTCTGTACAACTCTTAAATGAAATTATTTTATTAATTTTTATGTTTGAAAGTAAAATGGAAATCAAACCTGATAATACCAAGCTCTATCATTAGGATTATTCATAATATCATGAATATCTATACAATGTGTTTCTGAAGTAGAATTGGCATATATTCGAATAGCAGTTCCATAAGCATTTAATAATTTTTTATCGGTAAGATTAGGATCAGTTAAATTTGTAGATTCACAAAATGTTTTAACTGGATTCTCAGGTAAACCATTACAAGGATACGGGTAATTTAACATGGTCAAATTGGCGAACATTTCATTTAACCAATATAACAATTGCGCCAAGTCTTCTTTATTCTTAACCAGTTTGCAGAGGTGAAGTTTTAATTTCAATATGGTTTGACCTCTAGATGAGGAGGTGTAATTTCGAATAACGTTCCACGTTCTCTTGATATTTCGCATGCAGGTTTCGCCGGCGGAGATCCTAAAGGCTTTCACTAATATATCGTTGAACCGATTGCATTCGGTGAGGCCGTTAAACTGATAAATGGGTGCGGAAGCCGCGATGGCACCATCCACTGAAGCAGGGTATTTTAATCGAATCCAGGCTGCCAACATTCCTCCGTAAGAACCACCAAAAGCTATCGCTTTACACGGTTTGTTGTGGTTTTTAGTTTTGCATTTCTCTTTTAAATCTGCCAACAAATTCACAAAGTCTGCCAACGCTTGCGATGTGGTTAAGTAACCAAAATTGTGATTTGTATGCGATTTTTTACCAAAAGGTAATGATTTTCCATAATATCTATAAAAAAAAACAAAAAATAGGAAGGATAAGAATGAGTAAGATATTATTCAAAGACAAGGTCAATTTCTCTATTGGTTTCGTTTAAATTTGTTGCCTATTGATGTATCGCCGACTCCGTTTTGAACCCCAATTTATTTCTTTTCTATGCAAATGATTTGTTAGGTTGTGCATACATATATCTCCCTACGCAGGCTCTTTATTTGCCGATGAGACAGCTTTTATGACTATCCCTGAACGCAGTGGGCGATATATCAATGGCAAAAGGATTTATATCACATTGCGACCTACGCTTATAGATAAAACATAATATATCGTCAATAACTAATTAAATCAAGACGGTTGGTTTCCTTTTATAAGCGAAAATCGATACTTTACTTTTTAAAGAAATACCTATGTTCTGCAAAAACTATAACTGCATTGAATTCAGGTGCCATTTCCCACATAAGTCCAACATTTTGAGCGAATTCTTCTATGTTCCCTTCGTTTCCGGTGTAAAAGAATATAGGTCCTCCAGGTTTCCAGTGTAATTCGTTAATAAGAAATCTCAATCGAAACGTATGATTAAATGCAAAGCTTTAAAAGGTCATACTATCTTAATTTATACGTTAGATTAAAGATAGAGGGCAAACCTGAAATGGTCCACCGGAACTGTAATGTACTTCGTGTCGTATGTGTAATTCGCATTGCTCGATCGGTAGATCCCGTAAATTATGGCAATAATTACTAAAACGGTGTATCGAATCAGTGAAAATGAACTTGTTGACATAAAATGTACATTCAGCAACAAGGGTTGTTTTATCTATAAATAATAAATAGTTTCTGTTTTGTGGAAATATTTCAAATTCTTCTTTTCTCGTGTAGACATAATATAAGAATTCTTGTTACATGAATAACGTAGACTTCAAATGTGACAACTAATTTTTATTTGTGGTTAAAACGTATTTTATTTAAATTTTCTTTTTTGTTCCAATTTGAATGTGATGGACTACGACGTATTTGTTTATCTTTATGATGTAAATCAACTCAGATCGGTGTGAATATATGATCCTTTCGACATACGGTCCGAGAGGATGTTCGAAATCCGTGTTTCTATTATCGCGAGTAATAAAGTGCAGTCGTCAATTAGTGTTTAGGGCAAGCCGAACCAGGGTTGCCGTCGGTGTTTTCCAAATCACTCGGTGCAAATCATTTGAAATTATGATTTATTCAGTTGTTTGCACTATCGTAGCGGACAGTGGGTGTAATTTACGCACTCGTAAATTACGACGTCGCTATCGACACTAGAACTATAGTACATATTTTGGTGTGCGAACGCACATATGTATATACAGTATGGTAAACGTAATATTTTTTCATAAACTAGCTGTAGTAAAAATTTTTACGACGTGAAATAAATTTTGGTGGACGCGCCGGTTTTGACACTGACACAGTTTCGTAGAAACCAGATGAAATTTTGTATTAGGGGGATTTATATAAAAATAAAGAGTTTTATGACACACTAGGCGCAAGGATAAAAAATAGTTTTTTATGTATCTAGGTGGAAAAGCATAACTATTTTAAATAATATTGAGTTATTTACACGAAACAATTATAAAAAGCTACAAAAGTGTTTTCAAACATCACTATAATACTAAAGATCCAGCAAAGTGGATAATTTAGGTTTCCATAGAACATTAGCTATATTTTTGGTTTTATGCCTTTGATGTCTAGCACAATTCTATATTCAGAGCACTCTCAAACTCAAACTCTCAAACTGACATAATCAAGTAGTGCTTTTATCTGCAGGCCCAACAAAGAAGTCCTCTATTTTCGTGTAATTTAAAATAGTTTTAGACAACCTCTTTTAAAGTTTGTCAAGTATGTGGTGCTGTTAGGTGAGGTGGCACTGTTGGGACTGAATCGTGGTATGGGATTAGTGTACTTACATTGTTTGGGCTATTCGTACCACAATAATCCGCCTTGCTGCAATGTAGTTTCCCAATCCACTGGTAGGACATGGTGCTGGGACTAAAGTTTGTGAATAGTATTAAAGTTTATGGAGGGTGTTAGTTATAGTGAGGATTTAAACTTTGACAGAAAATGGAGGGTATTGGAGAAGACATGATTGATTTGAGTTGACTAAGGTCATTTCAGTATCTATCCAACAGATGAAGACAACTGAAAGACGACAAGGATCACAGAGACGGGAGAGGAGAAAATTTTTTTTACGAGATTGTGATTGAAACGGACAGAAGGACGGATATAAAAACTATTAAACGAAGTGGTGGATTGAAAAATTCGATCTCAGTAAAATCGAATCGGATGTATATTAATAGAAAGTCTTGCAGATATAGATATTTGGTTTGTCGCTGAGCTTGTATTTTTTTATTTTTAATATTTGACAGTTTCAGAATAATAAAGTTTGTATAATTGAGAATTCGCATCAAAACTTACCGAACTGTTTCGGTATTTCATTATAGTGGATAAGAATAGAAGAGAAATTGAATTTTCCAAGAATACTGAAAAGTTCGCGAGAGTGACATCGGCCTGGGAAGTTTTACGTTCCGAAAAGATTTACCTCAAGTCGGAATGATATTTCAGGAAGATGACATATGACCACACGGATATTACGGAATCTCCCTTTCGGTTCGCGACAAAATTTGAAACATCGCGACAAAAGTTATAATGCACAGTCTTCCATTTCCCGTATACCCTTTTCTTTTACATTTAAAACGACATCGAATTTGATTATTCATAGTTTATAACCGTGTCAATCGAAAATATTTATGTATCACTAAATCCCACTGGACCCGGTCATGAACTGGTTACAACATGTTGTTAAGACTGTAGCGAACGATCTCGCTGATCTGTAGATTTATTACATCGTACTCCCTTGAGATTTCAGTCACGTTTATTGACAACACAAACATCGAGTATTTCCAGGTTTCTGCACCGTTTTTATCCTTTTACCTTCTATTTATTTTTTTAGCAGATATGGAGTTTTCAGTTTGAAAACAAAATGATGTACACAAGAGTTTATTACATCCGTTTTATAGTTATAACATCTCATCATTTTTAAATTTTTTTTATTCAATATATGTTTGATATAATAGCTAATCTTATTGGAATTAATACATAGCTTTCTGTTAGATTTTATGAAATGAACAACTTAAACTTTATAGATTAACAGCTTAGTAAACCGGTTCTATTCTCATCTGGCAAGAGCTATAAGTCCTCTTTTCTCGATAGCTTCCGATTATCCAGAAATTAAACAGACCGCAACGAACCCATCCAGACCGGACGGTTTGAAATTAAATTTGAAATCCTTTATGCAAACCGTAAAATATTAAGTGGTCGCCTTATCAAAGAATGCTCCCCGTAGCCGTCGGCAGCATTCTTTGGGCGTCGTCGACGTCGCGGCGCCTATTTCCTTATGCTCTCTCTCTCCGGGCGTTGCGCAGGAAGGCATTTAAATACATAATGCAAGTCTCAGGTATATAGTGCCCTCCCTCATGAATAAAACTCATATTCGGCTCCGGGTCTCTCGCATGGACATTTAAAACGAGCGGGCGCAAACTGAGGAACGCGAGGGGGCAATATTTTCCCTACCGTATATCATCGGGTGCCTTTATTACTCTACTCTGCCTAACTTGGTACGCCCCCCTTTCCTACTTCATCTCCCACGCCCAGTTTCTCATCCCTTTTTCCCCACTTACCTCCTCATTTTTTTTTCCTACGGGAATCTTGGGGATACTTTACGACTAACAATTTATTAAGTATGCAAGGAGGGCTAATTTTAAAAGAAACTATGTTTATCTTACACCATAATGTCGCTAACTTATACTATAAATTCTTGTGTAATATTAATTTCTTGCTAAGTGGTGTGTGGCTTTTTGATGTAAAAAAATATTGTACCCCTGTGTGTAACAGTTATAATATAAATGATTAATGTTGTAGATTAATTTATGTATAAATTTTAAAACGTTTTTTATTCTGATTGGAATCAGTGTGTTGTGGTTGCCTAAGGAGAGAAAGAGCTAAAGGAGGATGAAAAAATCAAACAAAACAAATCCCTGCATTAATATTCGTATCTACAAAAAGCACATAGATCCTATATATACAGATTCCAGTGTCTCAGTTGCTGGATAACAGACCATCTTGACCATCAGGTATAGAATTCGTATAGAATATGCCAGATTCGTTTTTCAGAGAAAGAAGAAATTCGTAGCAAATTCCACCTTGTCACTGGATGTTTGATATCGACTTGTGAAAACGTAATGTTATACGGAGTGGAAGCATGGACCCTTGAAATTAATGGTGCGTGCCGGATAGAAGTCTTTGAAATGTGGGTTTGCTGTAGTATGATCTTTTGGACAGAGTACGTCCGTCACACATTAATGAGATGCTGAGAAGGATGGGAAATGATGGAGAATTCTTAAATATGGTAAAAATCGAGAAAACAAGTTATCTAGGGCATATTTATAGAGAGAAAAAATACAATTTCCTAAATTTTTTAGTTTCAGATTTTCCTGGTTGTGTGTTTTTTAGGTCTTGTATATTTGGATTTGATTCAACTGTACCAAAGTGATTGTGTTATTATTGTATTTTGAGCTAGTTAACAGGAATTTGAAATGGTTTATGCCAAACATCCAATCTCCAATCTAATGCCAATTAGTGAAGTCGTAGTAATAAAAATTTTCATTTTCTGGTTAGTACAAAATTTTTCTTGTAGTGTAGTGTAAAGGTAATGTGTCAAGAGTTTTTTAAACTACGTAAATAAAATTATATACTTGATAAAGTTACCTCAGTGACCTTAAAAATATAATCAAAAACGTAACAATTTCCGAGTCTTACTCATTACCTTTTATTAATATTTTTTAATTAACATAATTGTCTGGGTGGGTAATTTTAGGCCGAGACGATAAATTATGTCATTTCCGCTTAGAACTAGAACACGATATACAGTCCCTTAATTAATTAGCATTTCTAATAGTATAATTCCTGTTAACAACATGTATATTTATTACAAAGGGTTTACAATTTGCATGATCAGAAGGTCATGAATTATTCGGTCGGCTGATGTTGCCGGCACATACCATTCAGGCAGCAATAATTTATCCCAGATGTACCCACTTCCAGAATTTGTCATTATACGCGGTATACATGAATATGTGGACGGTGCGGGATTTATATGTATAAACCGCTAAGAATGAAAGGGGCACAAATTGGTTATCTGGGATGATGAAGATAACGTTCCGAATGATTTAGCACGATTCGAACGGTTGCGTGAAATAGATTGAGACGAATATTTTCAACGACAAACAATAAATGGATGAGATAATCGGAAACGTATTTTTTGGGCATAAGGCGTGTCGGACTCGAAGGGGAGTATGCCTTCATTTCCTTTCCTCCTAAGGTCTTCAAATATCCGGCGTGGAAGCCCAATGAGTCGTGAAGGCACATTATTCTGGAATTTGACCTCGATAAATTTGTTTTATATCCTACTTGAAATTCGAAACAGTTTTTTTGATCCCCCTGACTAATTCTTTTTAAACTTCAACATGAGTGATATTTTAGAAAATGCAATATTATTTTCTATATTGAGTTATGATAATAAATTTTGTTAATATATTACCCATCTAAATTCACAATTAAAATTAATTTAAAGTTTTTCTCTCCAGCTGGTGGAGGGTTGCTTCGAAAAAGAAACTTTTCTCCCAGCATTCAATATTTTTCACAAACTTCCAAAGTTTATCGAAATTTTTTTATAGCTTTTCTCGAGATTACTCCAGATAAGTCGTTTGGTACAAAAACAAAGTATTAACTTAAAACCCGTTCTAATCAATAGGGGTTAAGTCGTTTAATAAAATTTACTCTTAATAAAATACGTAAGAAGTAGAGAGAAGCGAAAAAATGTGTCTCGTCTTCGTATTTGTGTAGCCGGGTGATGTAAATGAAACGTAAAAGCATTTAAAAGCTGGAAAAGACGGTAACAAAACGGTTGTCTTTCCGAATGCAGGCGTCGCGAAGGGAGCACTGAAAAATAGATGAATCGTCTCGACTGCTGTGGGGGGCAATTCGCCATGGACAAACTGCGGAAATGGGTGAAGGAATCCGGAAACGGACGGAATACGGACTACGCCATAAATCACGGACTGCAAAACTGACTGTTTCGCTTAAACGTTACAGAAATAACTCCCCAAATGCCTAGGATGTTTTTCGCCCTTTTGCAGGGTGCGCGGTGACACAAGATATTCGCCACTTTTTGCCCCCTTTAACACCAACATACACCAACCCACTCAACCCTCTCCGAGGTTTATTACAACCTGAAAAGCTACTGGTTATTAAGTGACTTTCTTTCGAATGTTTTCCTGTCTGTGTTTACACCGCAAATATTTACAACGTTCCTATTACGTGTTGTTATTAATATGAATCTCGAACTAAAATTTATTACGTATAGACATTAATTGAGGTTAAATAAAGTGTTTTGTAGCATGAGTTTTTGTATTAATGGGTTACGCAAAATGGTTGTGCCTGCATAATTGAAACTAAATTCTAAGCGACATGTGCTAAACTAAAGTGGAAAGTTTTTAGTCACACAAAACTTCGCATTCAACGTTTAATAAAACCAACAAAGGATCGCCTTGAACTTTCAAGTTAAGTGAAATGCGGCAATTATAATGTCGAGCATGATTAAAGCTTGAAACTAGAGTTGAGTATAAGTTTAATTTTTAATTGTATTTTAAATCTCCTCATTCAGGTATATTGATCTTGTTCTAGCAATGTTGATAAATCTTGAAATGAAATAACCATGATATTGAAATGTGTTTGTCAACATGTGATCCATATTCATATTTTATACAGGATTATGATTTTAGTGTACAGGATAGATGGCAGCGACGTGTCAAAGATGCAAGGTTGACATAAAACTTAACGATCAATAATCTTTGCGGTACGACCTTATTATTAATGCATACAAAACATATTCCTTGTTTCTTACATCAACTTAAAAATGCATGCGTTATATCCCTTTACAGGGGCAACAAATTTATAAACCAAATGGATGTATCTTAAAACATATCTTAAAAAGAACTAAAAATCTGTATTGAAGTCTTGATAATGTTTTTAACACTTTTTCGTTAAAAGAATCATAGAGGGGGTATTTCATCAGAAAACAAAGAGTAGCAATTTCCGTCTGGTGCAAAATGGTTCAACCTGTTTCGGATAATCTTTGATCGGCGGCGGTGGCGACGCCGCTCTGCGCTATTGGAAATCGGCCTTCGATATAAAGTGCACCGAAGTGAGGAACAGTTTTCGGTTGGGCAGTTCGCAGGAATCTAAAACCTTTGAGGGTTCGTCGATATTAAATCAAAACACAGCCCTTCTGCCGGACCCTCGACGTCGTCGTGCACAAAATTATATCGACGAAAATCTAACATAAACGAAGTCTCTACAGCTCGCGTATTCCAAACATTCGACGCCGTCACAGTTAAGCAAGTCGATGGTTACAAAAATATTTTGAATATCGTTCGTGACAAAAAAAGATTAGAAACAGAACGAATCAAATATGATTTTAAACCTATCTGTGCTATTTTTTGCCGAAAAACTTTTATACCTTAAATATTAGGATAATACACAGCAAAAAATCGTGTCGTGTAAAAATTTTAGAGTAGTTGGTAAAAAGAATTAGAGTAAAAATTGTAATATCACATGGTAAAAATAACTCTAATGTACAATATATTTAATATTAATATAGAGTTCATATATTATTCACTTAATAGAGTAGTTTTTACAGTTCTCTAAAGGAGAGTTCTTTTTTACTTATGTTAGTGAAGTTATACAATGCGATCAAGAAAGTCGGTCCGCTAAAAACTACTTTCCCAAGCGCTTGATACCAATACTTACTGCCCTCGTCACAGAAATAAATTCTCTCTGGAGTTAGATTGGTGGATGTAAATTTAAATTATGATGAAAATAATTAAAAAGGATTAATTAATAAAAAGAAAACCCTTTAAACTATTCTTTTGTAATTAATTTATTTCATAAATCAAAAAAAGATCTTTTTTCTTCAAACGTCATTAAATGACAACTTTGTTGTCGTGTTTACTCGCGGTAGAAGTAAGTCATTGTTGCATAACGACGGTTGCTAAGATCAACATAGCAAAAAAGTACTTCAGCGTTATGGCGCTAAAGTAAATTTCACTTTAGCGCCATAACGTTGAAGAACATTTCACTTTAGCGCCGTATTATTTGCAACGTTTGAAGAAAAAATACTATGTTTTATTCGGAAGAGAAGCAGATTCGTTTGTGGCTGGTCCGTCATTGCCGGACTCACTTCGTTCGTCCGGCAAACTGTCGGACACGCCACAATTTTAACGGCTCATCTGTCATTAGCGACTCACTGCGTTCGTCGCTAAGCGACAGACCACGCCATAAAAAGCACTGCTTCTCTTCCATATAAAACAATATACTATTTTCTTCAAACGTCATTAAATGACAACTTTGTTGTCGTGTTTACTCGCGGTAGAAGTAAGTCATTGTTGCATAACGACGGTTGGTAAGATCAACATAGCAAAAAAGTACTTCAGCGTTATGGCGCTAAAGTAAATTTCACTTTAGCGCCATA